AAACTCCATCTCGCATCTCACTCCTCCTCTCACGACGCGGACGATGCAACGAAGAGCGCCAGGAGCCTCCACGCTCGACCGTCCCCTGCACGGCCGCAGAGTAGTATAAAAAAAAAGGTAAGTTTCACTGGGGGCGCAATGGAGTAATATAATTAATATTGATTTTAAAATTTGCAATTTAATATTGATTTATTTACCCCAATTTTACATCAATTAACCTCAGATTACCATCAGTACTGACAAAAATTAATTATCGATTGTCATCGAATTATCAACTATACAAGTGTTTGCATTATCCATGTATGAAAGGATTTATCGATATGGAATTTATTAAGTATTGAGTGGACGAGTATTTGCATTATCCCATTACCTTCACGAACGATTTTTCGTGTTGGAAATGATTAGTTACAACGTCTTTGAATAATTTCAAAGGTTTCAAACCCACGCTCTCCTGAAGGGCAAGGGCGAGGTGGGGAGAGGAGCAGCCTGTATGTTATTAAAAGAAATATACAAGAAATGGAGTATCGTCTCACTTTCATTCAGTCGAGAAGATGGAAGGCGATAGTACTGACGCTGCACTTGCCAAACCCAGCAATAATTTCGCCCTCGCGTTATTTACCGAAAACGAACGCAGGAAACCTTCAATTATATTTCTGCAATAGCTGATTACGTGAATGCGTGTCGGAGCTCGTCAGGTGGGGATTCTATCTAGATGTCGATCCGAAGATCGCATCGACGTTACACAACTTGGAAGAATCATCAAAGCTCTTCGTTTGCTGTGTATTTTGCCGGGGGAAATGCAACTCGAAGACTTTCATCGTGACCAAAAATCGAGTGAAACCATTCGTCCGCGACATCGTCACTTACAGCCTGGCCACGAAGCATATTCCACTCCGCCAAGTGTCTACCGATGTCACAAGGAAATGAATTGGCTGTACCCTCTACTGACTGGCAAATGTCATTCGAACGTGCAATTTTCACCTCTTGCTCTCAGCAGAGGGAATCCATCTGATGATGAAGATTTCAACCCAAACCAAAAGAAGATGCTCTGTCATGCCGGGCGACTCTGGCCTTTTGAGTTCTTCCCGAAAAGATACATTGTATCTACTAGTGAAATGGCAAGATGGGGTCTATATTATACGGGGATCCGCGACGAGACCGCTTGCATTTTTTGTCGTCCGATCCTTCACAACTGGGAATACCGAGAGACAATCCCTACGAGGAACACCGTAGATTTTCCCCCAACTGCCCATTGATTAGAGGACGCAACATCGTGGATATCCCATACGAGAATTCTCCCAAACCTGGTGTCAACACGGAAAAGGAAGGAAAGGATATGGTCGATGCTCAGAGCAGACGATCGCCTACGAGTTCCTTCGAATCAGGTAAATTCGTTACTCTCCCTTTGGCAAATAACGATTAAACTCTTTACTGATTTATTTCCTTGTCTATAGACGCTTTTTCAGAGCCGATCGTTGACGAAGACGGGGATTCTCAGCTGTTCGTTAGACGGTCTGGTAAATTCCCTCGGTTCCGATATGGACTTAACGATCTTAAAGGACTCCTTCCCTCCCACAACTCAGGAACAAATGACAATGCTCCAGAGAAAGGGGTATTTTCCCTACGAATACGTGATGTATGAGATCTGAGACAGTACTTCCTCCTAGAGGATCATTTTTTTCCTCGCTGAAAGGAGCAACCATTTCCGAAATACAATATCACCATGCGATAAACGTATGGGATACCTTCTCTTGCAAAACCATTGGAGATGACGCTCAGTTGTATTGTCGCGTCGATACGATCCTCCTCGCGACAGTCTCTGAGCGATTTCGTCGACAAACGATGCAGGACTTTGGTCTCGAGGCATGCATGTTCGAATCATCACCTCGTTGAGCATGGCAGCAGCACTAAAGACCAGTCGTGTCGAGTTAGATCTCGTCACTGATATCGATCAACACCTGATGTGGGAAGCTGGGATTCGCGATGTGCATCGCTCCGGAAAAGTTTAGCAAGGCAAACAATAAATACATGGGGGCAGCATACGATGAGACGAAAGAGAGCTCTTTTATTTTAAATTTCGACTGCAACAGTCTGTATGCACCCTGCTTGTATGGGAAAATATGAGGGACCTATGCATCAGATCAAATAGAGAATGTATACTTCCCATCCTTCCCGGCGTGTATCGTTTCCAACCGTTGCAGCCAAGAGAAACGCGGACGACATTTCGTTGCATTCTTCCTGGAGAGAAAGGGTCAGGTGGAGTTTTTTTTATCGCCTCGGTCGGTTTCCGGGTTTTTATGGACATGCATTTGAAAGATTCGTGAGCGAGCACGGGGGAAAATCGGTTGTCTACGACGTTCAATTCAGGGCCCAGGCGCAAAAACATGCGGGGTCCGTGTCATTTTCTACCTCATTCATCGATGTCTCGGCCACAGCATGAAGGAGATGTATCCCCCTCATTCTCCCTCATCATTCCATGACGCGATTGTGAAACTTTTTTGCTGACACATCGGAATAAAGGAAGACGAATAAATGACAGCACCTCGGGAGTTTCATTTGCAAGTACATGAAGTCAACGTGTCTTTGAAAAAGAGATGCTGAGCTCATCGTATTTTTCTCGGAAGTATACAGGTCGTTATGACTATAAAATTATCAAAAGACATGCTGAGCTCATAATCTTTTTTGCTTTGGTATAATCTTTTTCGGTTGGTGGGATCTCACTATGGGTATTGTTAAAATCTTGCATGGTTTGACCATCATGAGACAAATGGACAAGGTCATGGGGATGAATGCTTTCTTTCCATTTCCCCCATTCCTGACAAAATATGCTAATTTGAAAAGCCAAAAGCTATCGCTCCTTAGCGAGTTTCAATCTGGCAGTTCCTCACTTCGATCTGTATGAAGCTGATGTGAACTTCATCCTCTATATACTCCTACCTACGGTGAGTCCACACAATCTCGAATATCTCTCATTACATTTTAGGAGAGTTTTCTAATCGCAACTTTGGCACTGCATTTTTTAATTACAGAATGTGCTGTTCATCACGTATATTTTGATATTTCATGACATTACCGAGTGCAAAGATTTTGCAAGATGGGTTAAAGATTGCATTGGTGGGATCGTGGAGATGGAAGCAACGTCTCGCGAAAGAATTATCATTATTATTATTATTATTATTATTTTGCTTCGTCCGAGCGGGGACACCATAGCCCTCGGAAGAGAAGTCATCAATACATGGCTAAGGGGAACTTCCTGCAAAGTATGCGCCTGGGCAGGTGCAGGAGGAACAGCGGATGGAATCATGTCATCTTTAAAATACTTTGAGACCATAGAGGCCAATTAGTAAGATCATTGCATGTCCCTTCCTGAATTCCGTCTTACCCTCATATAATTAAAAAAATTTTCTCTTACAGTTACGGTGAAGATTGGGAGACAATCGAGAAAGAAGGAAAAAAAAAGTTCAAATTTACCATTATTCAACTTTTCTTTCATCAGCTAAAATATAAATTAGAAATAAGTTTATTATTGTCATTGATTTTTCGAGAGATGCAAAGCCATGATCAAAGAAACCAGAGATGAGTTAAAACACATCCCGTCTCTCACGTGGAGACACTCATGGTCCAGGAGTTTAATGATTTATCCCTGATTTGGATTCAATGAATCGTTACTTCGAGTTTCATCATGCACATCATCAGTGTGCACTCTGCAGAAGAGAGAGATGATGCAACGGTGCTTTTATCGGTATCGGCGCATGTGAAATCGGAGGCGACATCTCCTCGCACTATCGTCCTCAGCCTCGAAGGAGAGAATCGACTCAGGCGGAAGACCACCGAGGAGAAACTCGGGTCGCTACGTTCGTCTGCGAGATGGTATCCAAACGAGACGGACGTCGAGAAATGTCTCAAGACTGAGGAAGTTCGAGCAAAATATGAAGTCCAGTGGTAGTGCCATTTCCGTTTCTGATACAATCTTTTTTATCCTTGTATGCATTTTTCATCAGAGGCACTGGCCTTCTTTCCATCCGTACTAGTTAATTAGCTCACTGAAAAAAAAAAATTTTTTATATGTTCCTCGCTGAACAATCTCACCACCTGGTTTCCTCCTTTACAGGAACGATGGAGGCCGAACGAGAATCGTTTTCCCTGCCCCCTAATCTGTTCCGACTGCACAACTTCATATTGTGCCAGGTTATTCCGCTCTCATCAATTCACGTTTAGATATCTAACCTTCACATCGCAATCATCATCCTCTCTCAAGACTTTCCCTTGTTCTTCGTATATCGATTCTATCGATGTAGAGATTGTTGATGGGTAATTTATAATAAAGTTTCACTCTACTTCCCATCCCCGACTCGTCCTTGACATCGAAGGGCCGTTGTTGTAAAGATGTGCAACCTTTGAAATTATTCAAAGACGAGCTGACCTCATCATCTTTGTATACTTTCTTTCACAACATGCACACTACTCCCGTCCCCGATTCAGGGGTCCATGACCCCCAGGGGACCGTGCTCGTAAAAAAGGGGAGCAGGACTAGAAACGTGCCACAAGCGCAAATAAAGACGTCATCAACGTGTCTGAACACGTTGACGTAGCCAATTCATCAAATGTGCCCTTTTGACTTGATCTCAACTGGTAATCGTGCTCGATCTAAATAAACTCCCAATCTTAACATCGTTTCAGTAACTAATCATTTCCAACACGAAAAATCGTTCGTGAAGGTAATGGGATAATGCAAATACTCGTCCACTCAATACTTAATAAATTCCATATCGATAAATCCTTTCATACATGGATAATGCAAACACTCGTATAGTTGATAATTCGATGACAATAATTAATTTTTGTCAGTACTGACGGTAACCTGAGGTTAATTGATGTAAAATTGGGGTAAATAAATCAATATTAAATTGCGCCTCCATTGAAACTTACCTTTTTTATACTACTCCGCGGATCACTTCCTCCCCAAGGCAAGGACGTAGTTCCATCGACCCGGAACGACCTCACCGGGGGACAGCACCCTCTCCAACCTGCGACGGGGGGGACCAGAGGTCATCGGGGAAGGGATTGGAACCGAGCGAGAAACGCTGCCGAAGGCGATCTTGCCTTCGGCGGAGGTCAGAGGCGATGGCATCCATCCGATCCTTCCCCTCTTTTTCCTTCATCCGACCGTAGGCGGACCACGTCTGGACGTAGCCGACGAGTCCGTCTGCATCCATGGATATGTCCGAATGTATCTCGCCGAACCTGATCGGATGCAGTGAAAAATTTTCGATTTCCGATCCTGAAGACACGCCGTGAACATCGAGACAGAAAATGACGCCAGAATTGTGGGAGCCTCACCTGAAAGTTTTAGCTTCGTTCATCGGGAGCTGAAAGTCTTCCAGGCTGAACGTGGACCTGGCATCGGTCCAGTAGTCAGTCATCAGTCCATCGACCTTTCCAAGAGGAAGATGACATGAAACTCATTTTAATGACGTGAAGCAACATTCACCTCTTTCGTAGAGTCATCACGAGGCAAAACAGTCTCGATCATGCACAGTCTTAGAAGCAGACTCTATACATGTCATTGTTGACACCGATTCGTGTTCTGGACAGGATGTACGTATTATGGCTTGCAGATACGATTCTCAGATTATTGACGTAGATCTGCGGTTCCTAGACTTCTTTGAATCGCGACCCACTTGCTGAAGTACAAAAAACTTCGCGACCCACCAGAATCCAGAACGAGGTATTTTCAAAGTAACCATGACGTGAAGAAAACCGATGGACCTTTTCTGCAGGGCATGTTTTATCCCGAGCGGATGCGGATATAGTGATTTTCATACTTTGAAAATGCACGCGGCCCACCTTGATGCCTCTCGCGACCCACGGTTTGGGAACCGCTGACGTAGATGATCGACTCACGTGACGAAGTGCACTCGAGAGCGCATCGCTCCTGTCGCGGCCGAGAGTGGGGAAGCCGACGGGGAGGAGGCCGCAGTTGAAGATGGCCAGGACCCCGGACGGGGCGAGGACGCGCTTCGCCTCGTCGAGGAACCGAGACTGGTGGAAGTAGTGGAAGCTCCGGGATGCCGTCACGAGTTGCACCGAGCACGGTGGGAAGGGCAGCGCCTCTGCTGGCGACGCTCTAAATTGCAACGTGGACGTGGATGTGCGAAATTCGACGCCTTCCTTTCACGATTTCATTTTGATCTGAACAAAATAAAAGGAAGGTTTTCGATCGGATTCATGTCTGGCGTATCGAACCCGCCAAATCGTGCCGACTGCATAGACCTGTGTCGTTGCACATTGGGTTGCGTCCTCTCGTCCGATGCTTGCGGACTCGAATTATTTTTGGACCAGACGCACATTCAAGTCTGCATAGGATCTGCATAGGATAGGCGATCTCAGGATTGGAAATAGGCTGATAGATGCAACAATGTGCGCTTCGATACTATCATCGTCTTCACAATTTGGCATGTTCCATGGAGCACACATGAGTACAATTCAAAATTGTCCTTTTTCGTTCAGATCAAAATGAATTTGCGAAAATGAACATTCTCAGTGAATTTGCATGACTCCGAATGACACAGGTGCACTGCGGGTTTCTATCGGAAATTAGGATTATTGAAATCTTTCATTTTTTAAAAAGAAATTCCTCAGACTATCTCCTTCACCACGAAAAATTTGCTCGTCAAACATCTTAGAACGTGAGTTTAAGATATTGCTGCCATCTCATGAGTGGTGAAATATCGAGCCAGAAGACGAAAACTCAGCCAGTGTGTAACCCTCCCTCCACCTTTCCAGCATGTCTCCTCCCGGAGAAAGATTTTCATCAGCTTTTACCGCACACCTTCAAAAACCAACCGATGCATCAGAACTGCCGGAACTGATGCATCAGAACTGATGGAACTGATGCATCAGAACTGATGGAACTGATGCATCAGAACTGATGGAACTGATGCATCAGAACTGATGGAACTGATGCATCAGAACTGATGGAACTGATGCATCAGAACTGATGGAACTGATGCATCAGAACTGATGGAACCGATGCATCAGAACTGCCGGAACTGATGCATCAGAACTGATGGAACCGATGCATCAGAACTGCCGGAACTGATGCATCAGAACTGATGGAACTGATGCATCAGAACTGATGGAACTGATGCATCAGAACTGATGGAACCGATGCATCAGAACTGCCGGAACTGATGCGTCAGAACTGATGGAACTGATGCATCAGAACTGATGAAACTGATGCATCAGAACTGCATAACTGCATGGACTCGGAAAAATCGGAATGCGTCGCGGGGCGAGTCTATCTCTACTTTCACTCTTTTGCCCTCGTCGGCGAAAGTTAACTCATGCATCCATGAAATGAGAATTCAATCTGGACCTAAACTTATCAAGGGCTATCGAGAGAATGAGTATTTAAAAAAAGGAGCCCTTTGAGTATGACGTCATCATCGCACAAAGAAAAGCGAAGATCCATCCATCATCCATCAGATCAGATCCGTCACTTCTATCCTCGTATGATGAGGAGAGGAGTGATGGATGGCTGATCGACGTAAATCAGTTTTTCTTGCGTCAGTGGCAGTGAGAAAGGGCACGTGGATTTGTGACTGCCGGATAGGTTGGAACTGCATCTTTGCATCTTGCCTAAAATGGAACCTGGCGGGAACCGGCCTTCGCTCGCTTTAAATGCAACAAAACTTCAAAATTGTCGGATTTAGGGGCTTCCTCGATCAAAAGAGTTTACCCTCTAGAAATCTGGACATTCTTGGCTTGAAATGCTCACGAAATCACAGAAATCAGAGCCGGCGAACAAAGATCTTCCAACTGCAAATCACCCTAATAAAAAAAAAAACCAACGGTGACACCCAAAGATCCCAACTGCAAAGGCATGCAAAGCAAAGGCATGCAAAGCAAAGGCATGCAATACAAAGGCATGCAAAGCAAAGGCATGCAAAGCAAAGGCATGCAATACAAAGGCATGCAAAGCAAAGGCATGCAAAGCAAAGGCATGCAATACAAAGGCATGCAAAGCAAAGGCATGCAATGCAAAGGCATGCAATGCAAATTCATGCAATACAAAGGCATGCAATGCAAAGGCATGCAATGCAAAGGGATACAATGCAAAGGGATGCAGCCCTCACACGTATGTGACGTTGGGCAGGCGATTCCCCGCGGCTGCCTCCTCAATCTGCGCCTCGCTGATGTCCACCCCGTAGGCGCGCTGGAAGTGCGGGGCGAGGAGCCGCGTGCTCTGACCCGTCCCGCACCCGACGTCCACGCACGTGTTCAGCTCGCCGGTGTACTGGAAAGATCCACCGAAAAGAGTCTAGAATTTATTTTCACGGCGTCTCGAGGGGAGGGAAGATGACGATGCTGACTTTTTCCTCGAGATAGTCCAGGATGTGCCGGATGAGTTGTGGAGGGTGTCCGAAGCGGTACTTGCCGTAGAATTTAGCGTGCTCGGGGTCTTCGAAGAACCGTTTGCCTTGACTCGACTCCATCTTCGATGAAAATCTGACCGGGCTTCGGCGGATTTCCCGTGCGGCTTTAAGGAAATTCGGTGGAAAAACCGTCATCGCCTTTCTCTGAAAGCGGTGCGAGCGAACAAGTGATCGTCGAGGGGCTGCGATCAGACAAATCGGCCCCAAAACGGATATCGCTGGACCGAACTGCATCGCATAACGAGCCATGATGGCCTCTCAGTTACAATGCCTTCTAGAAAAAAGTGAAAAGGGGGTTTTCGCTTCGAACAGGTAGCCATACGATTTGAAATCTCACGAGAAACAGAAAAAAAAGCAGGGAGTATCTCCTCTCTCGTACCAAATCCAATTTTATCACCTAATACAGCTTTTATTAAATGCCTGCAATGGACTCCCAACAAGTGACAATTGATTCATAGGGCTAAGAGGATAATGGGTGAAAGAGAGTCCACTTTCCCTCCAAGTGCACTTTCAGTTCTATGGATTTTAGGGGGATTATTACTTTTTAAACTTTCATCTCATGAAAGTCTGAATAAGACGGGACGTTCTCTTGGGGGAAAGAGAATCTCCCAAGCATATTTATTTTCTTACAACTCAACGGGGTTCAAGGGCCACACAGGTCCCTTCCTCCTTCTCCTTCCCCTTCCCCTTCCCCTTCCCCCCCCCCCCCTCAAAGAGGAAGATTTTATCCCAGCAATGTCAGGTCGACAAGTCAAAGGAAGCAAGCAGCCGCGCTGCTACAGATGATTCTGTTCAGCGAGAGGAAGCGAACGCCGTGGATGCACACCAGGACAGAGAAAACAGCACGTACGCTCTCCAGCAGGGAGAAAAGGAGCAGGAGGCAGGCAAGAGATCCCCGGTAAAGGAACACCCGAAACAGGACCAAGAGAACACGACGAGAGATCTCACCCAACGGGCAGTTCCTTCCGCAGCGGCAGAGCTACAGCGGACTCGGTGGCACGGTGGGACGACCGAGAAGCCGGTTCTCGACGTAGGCCTCCTTTGTATCTCACGGAACCAATCATCGCAGCAGAGTAGAAACGGGTCCAGATGCATATCTGGTGATATTAATGAGATTCATCGGAATTCTTCCTCAACGGTAGATCAGTTGATAAGCTCACTTTTTACTTTCAAGTTACCATCAGTCCAAGTCATATTAATATCTTCCTCCACCTGCCAATCTAAGACGGCGGTACAACCATCGTCTCCAGCCTCTATCTGGGCTTTTGCTTTTTTTTTTTTTTGGGGGGGGGGGGGGGGGGGGGAGGGGGAGGGGATTTTTTTTTTTTTTTTTTTTTTTTTTGGGGGGGGGGGGGGGGGGGGAGAGAGAGAATCTTAATACCCCTTCTCCCTGGACATAGGAGCTGAATTGGAATGCCTACACGTTTTCTTTATAGATCATTAAGAACAAAATGATAAGAGCAATTTTTTTATTTTCACAGGCAACAGGTCCAGCTGCCGGCTAAGCTTCATACCCAGCATCGAATTCAGGTTTATCAAGTGGGGAAAAAAAAATTCAAAAATGAAATTGATTAACATTTGTGGAATTCCTTATCACTTTTTAAGATTGCAATCACACACTTCATAAATTAGAATTCAGAAACCTAATCAATAATTCACCTAATTAATAATAAACCGGCTACCCTCGTGCCGCTGAACACCGCTGCGATTTTTGGCCAAATGGAAATTCCAAGACGAAAATTTGCTTATATCGGAGCAGCGCCCCGGGATTCGCATTTGAAACAGAGAATACGCTCCCAGAAGTAAACTAAACGAAGTGAAATCTGCAAATTGAAACTTTTTTTTACAGCTACGTACGTAAGAAAGCAGGAAAAAATGGGCATGCACCTCTTTCACACCAGCACACTCAGTATGGATGCTCTTGAGTGGATGTGAACAGTCCCAAACCCAGGGTCAATGTTGGAGGGGGGGGGGGGGGGGGGGGGGAAAAAAAAAAAAAGGGGAATNGGGGGGGAGGGGGGGGGGGGGTCGAAAAACACAGAAATTTAGAATGTACTCACTTTCAATATTCTCTCACGTTCATATGCCTATAACCGTGGGCGGAAAAAGTGTGGGGGGGGGGGTCGCAGGAACTCTGGGACACTGTTATGCATTTCATTTGTCTTTTCTTGAATAATGGGGAGGCACGTGCCCCTCCCCCCCCCTATCCGGGTCTCCCGACGCTCTTCATGTTACCCTATGTTGAGCATAGTAGAGGGTCAAGACCCCATGAGGTGCAAGTGCCAGCCTTAATCTTCAGAAAATGAGAAGCATTGAACCAACAGAAAGTTCTTGCCACTGTGACTAACTGCATTGAGCATGACAAGAGTGGCATCTCTTCAGGTGCAGGAACTCTATCGTCAAGTAACTGTTACCCGTGAAATATTCATATTTTCGTAATTCAGGCTAATCGAATTCCGTCCCGAACCCGAACTGGAATTTTGAACAGCCATATTTCGGATCAATATTGTTGGGGGGTGGGGAACCCGTTCTCCTCTTCAGCCCACCCCCTACCAATTTTCGGGGGATTCTGTCCCATAGCATTCAAACGAGACACGTTTGAATTTCGAGCACCCAAGTGAGTGGGATGAATAATCGCGAGCACCTCTGATCATCAGAAACCCCGAGTACGGTAGCTTTGAGTCTGGGATGGATGCGGATCGGCTCGATTGAACCGACTCGACCCACGGATCGGGCGTGTAGCTCGGTTTGCCATCGAGCTTTTCGTTGGGTGTGGGCGGAATCCGAGACGTCGAGTTCGGCAGGTTAGAGACCTAAGCGGGCTGCGGGTCGGCCCAATCGACCCGACACGATTCGCGGGTTGGGCCTGCAAGGCTACGTCGGTGATCGAGGTTCTAGTTGGGTGCGGGGCCAAGATTCGACTCGGGCTGATGGGGTCGGGTTCAGAAAAATAGACCTCTGCAGGCCTCCGGCGGTCAGACAGACAGACAAACGTCGGCTATTAATATGTATATACGATAGATATCACCACCAAGGAACATGACAAGGTTGAAGCCCACTTGAACCATGCAAAATGTTTCTTGAAGGTACTTTACCTATTAATGCTCGAAAGTTATCTTTTGAGTGGCTTCCTCAATCTGAGTCTTGTTCATGACCAGTCCATAGAATGTCCTGAAAGGAGTCATGAGGTATTGTACTCTGCCCAGTTACACAACCACATTCAACTTCCTGTGTGCTGATGGTGCGCCACCCATCACTGGACTCTACTTTGAACATCTCTTGAAGCTCTTCTCCAGGAACTGCAGAACAGCTCCTTAGGCTTAAAAAATTGCATTTGTGTCTTTTGAAGCCTATCCCAGGATTCCCAAATGCTAGTTTTCTTTATGTTATATTATTTTGCAATTATTTCAAAGTTGATATGGAATCCAAGAAACCTATAAGCTAAAGATGAGGCTCTACTTTTTTTTTTTTATTACCTCATGCATCTTAAAGGATTTCCTGAGCAAGATTAAGTCCTCTGAGGCACTCGAGCAAGCAATCCACTGTAACTTCAGAAAACATATTCTCTTACCAAAACGGCAAGCTCATCTTACAAAATGCCAAAACTGGGCAAGGTTTTTGTACTGGTTCTTTCTGCTAATTAAAGGTCAAATAATTACGGAAATACGGGTTTCCCAATGCAGAGTTACAGAATGAAGCTCCAGAATGGTATGAAGACCAAGGTCACTTGCTATTAATTTCCTCTAAGGGATCTTGCTCATCTTTATAATTTTCCTAATCTAACTGGAAATTGAAGTTTCACTGTCTACTTATCTTTCAAGCAAGCAATTCCAAAACTTAGTATTGTATGGGTATGGAAAGAACACCAGCTTCCAAGCAATTCACCTAAGGAATGAACAAGAGCGGTGAACAGGAAAATGCTTCCTGCCTTGCTGGATTGGGGTATTCAGCTTATACGGCTCAGTATTGTCTAAATGCCAATGACTTTAGCTCCTGACTGGGATGATTCTGTACTAATCTTGATTTTAGCTAGAAAGTACAATCGACTATATGGCACCCAAAGTTCCACGAAGTTTCTCTTTATTGAGAAAATCTTTTTTTTATTATTTTCTAATAATCTCACGGACAACAAAAAGATGGAATTGAATGTCAAACCACCATTTCTTGCACAAGAAACAAAACACACAAATCCATAAGGGAGTTTTTCAATTTGATTTGTAACAGGACTTGGCTTGATTATCGAGAGATCTGGAGGAAAAGGGAAACTGCATTAGCTCCTGATGGCTAAATTTACTGCTGGGCACCGGGAGTAGCGAGATCAAGACAAAGAACACTCAGAATATGAATCGGGACGCCGCATTGAGCCCGCCATCACTTTGAAGGTCATTATCACCCATGCCACATAGAGGCGGGAAATGCTTCCTCCCGCGTCCTTCGCTGTCGTCATCCTTGTCGTGATTATCGCGCTTCTTTGTTGAGGTCTTACCGATGTTGAGCGATGAAGGACTCATCCTTTCCTGCTCTTTGAGGTATTTGAAAGAATCTATCTCTATTTCTCCTCTCAGGGACTCGGGAATCCAGCCGTAGGGAAAGGCCACATCCGAGACCGAGCCTTCCATCTTTCGATAAAACAGAACATAGCTAGAATCACTCTGCAAGGGCTTGGAGAAACCCCTGAGGGATTCGAGAGATTCAGGGGTCACTTGACTGTCATTGAGAAGGAACCAATCGTCACTGGCTAATTCAGAATGCCTCCCATGGCAGTAGTAATGTCCCGTGTCCAGACTGTAGCCAGAGTGGAAGATGGTTGCGTAGAGATGGTATGACGGTGACGGCGCTGCCATGACGGGAGAATCACTGCCAGAGGTGAAGAGCGGCAGTTCGATCTGGGGAGGAATGATGACATCGGTGAGAATCTTCGAGCCCTGGAGAGTCTGACTGTTGAATGAAAATCTCATCAGTGTGAGGATGAGGTGAATGGGAGCCTGGATGAGATGCAACGTGCGCTGCGCTTCCCTCTTCTCCTCGCAGTGGTCACACATATACGAATTCTCTCCTCGAAGATGTTCTGGTTGAAACCTTTCACTGATGAGATCCTGCAACTGAACTTCTTTGGTTTGCTGAAGGATTCGTGTGGCCTGGCGTGTGGCCCGGCGCACCTCGTTGTCATCGCGCACCTCCTCCGGGAAGTGAAGGACCAAGTCCCGAAAACGTTCTTGCATCACAGATTTTGTGCCGCACGAGCGACACTCAATCACAGAATGAAGGATCCCACCAAAGCACTGATGAACGAGGGTAGATAATTGCGGGTCAGGCTTCTCCGACGTGCAAGCTTCTCCCAGCGAAGAAATCCCACTGTCCTTGGAGGACGACTTGACGTCGGCTGCAGGGCTGTCCCCGCATCCCAGCTTGGTACGCGACCGCAGAAAGTACATGGCGGTTTCCTCCGACAGGTTCTCTTCCGTCGTCCAACGCTTCAGCTTGGCACTGGAGGAATCCTCATCGACGTCCATAGAATCGCTATCGTCCTCTCCCGATCGAATGATCGTTCGCTGCTGCAGCGTGACCTTGTTGCACCCGTGCTCCTCTTCGTGCAGATGGTCCAGGAGATAACGTAGGAACTCGGCACAGTCGTGCATGACCCCGACCTCGTGATATTGCGACACGACGCTTCGAATGAACTCATCGGGAGAATATTCATCCCGGGGTGAGTACGCAAGGAAGCCAAAGACTTTCTGAAGGGAATGCAACACAGAGTGAGACCCAGAGACTCTGTGCGACTGAAGGACCGCATTGCGAAAGCTGCGAGGCACAGGGATCATATCGCATGGTGAGATGAGATCAGTCCTAAGTTTACATACTCAAAACAGAGAACGAACACGACCCACCGATCTGTGAGAAACAGAGCCTGCAGAACTGAATTCGCGAAGCATGTGTTGCCCAAGTTGGCGAGGCCAGCTTTTCCCGTTTCGGAGCGAAGTAAACCCAGGCGGCCACTCACAACATCGTAAGCAAATTTACTGCGAGGCAACCATTTGCATCGCTCCAACTGGGTGTGGATCCAGCCCGGGTCAACACTCACGCTTTCCTGTAAAGGACATCAATTGAGAGAATGCAATGTGTACAAGGCAAGCCTTAACAATTTCTCAAATTGCTCGCACACGTAGCATCTTAAAATCTGGGGATTGACATGTCCAGTGGTCTATCGAAAAGTGCTCCATCTTCTACTTCGTGACATTCTTATGGATCGATATGGCTCCAAACATAATGCGAGAGAGATGGCAATATCACATAAATCTGTAGTACCACCAAATACTGCTAATTCACTACTTCCATGCATTTAGGCGTTATGTTTACAGTCCAGTCAATTTTCCCATAAACACATATGAACATGAACTCACAGGAATTAATTTGTCTAGAGGATCATATATCTTGGGGAAACCAAAGTTCACACCCAACTGCGCCTTCAGTATCTTCAGGACCTGGCTTAGAAAGTCTTTACTTGAAGAGCTTTTCTCAGCTTTGAGAGCTTCAATGACTGCCGGATATTGAGTAAGTGCCTGAAAAGAGAAGCGAGGACATCTCAACTAATTTAAAATTCCACATTCAGATTAGCCTAAGTCATAATTGTGTTTTATAATGTTATTTTTTCACGATAATGGTAACAAGATAGGCCTATCAAACTGAATTGAGCCCATTATTTCTCTATTAATGAACCAATGGTTCATTAATAGAGAATTATCCTTTGTTCCTTATGCCCTCTATGAGCCATTTCGGCAGTAAATGAACCCAGCCATCAACAGGATATAAAAAATCCAACAGAATAATATCATGTAAAATATAAAAAAACAAACCAAGGTTAATAAGTAATTAGTGCCACTGAAAATCATTCAGTAAACTTAATTACATGCCACCCTGTTTTTCTTTAATTTATAATCCCATAGGTGAAAATCACTTACAATTTTTTTAATTTTAAACTTTTTGACTGTGAATCATGAATTGTGAAAAACTTATTCCAGTCAATATTGCTGAAAATTTTTAAAACTTTTTTAAATCTCCACAAAGACTCCAGTCAAAATTTGCATATAAAGCTAACCAATGACATAATATGAATTGTCCCATTCCCATGAACTATGCAATTGAATTGAAATGTCAGTATCCCATCTTTACATTACCTGATACAGGTACCTTGAAGCTTCTTTATGCAAATCACAAGAAAAACCTGGAGTAAGTAGTAGTACTAAAAAAGTTGTCAATATTTTCCCCAATTAATTCTTTCTTTCTTTCAGACAGGAGGAAACAGAGCCATCAAACAAATTGGACCTATTTTCATCATCTTGAAAAATATATTAAAACAAGATCATGCGATTGAGTTTTGAGAACCAGGATGAATGAGATGAAGGAGCTTTTTTACCCGATGAAAGGCTGCAGGAGAGTGCTGAAAACTGAAGAGCATATGACAGACGACAGGGAGGATGGATCGACGATACAAGGGGACTTGGATAGCCCTGACAAGCTTGAATAAAAAGAGGAACATAACTTGCACAGTGACATCTCAATGGCTTGAACCACTGATTGTAATTTGAAAAATTTACATCAAGCAATTAAAGAGGGGTTTTCTCAACAAATTACAATAAATGGGATTCCATCTAAGATTCTGACAAGGAAGATAATGCCTTCCAAGTTGAAAATTGATTTTTTTGTACTTTGTCAAACTCAAGCCATGAACTTGCACTTGAAACAGCCTAATAGCAACTAGAAGTCTTAATCATATATCAACCAGAATTGTTTTTCTTATAGGCTAATATTCTTCCTGGTGGGTATAAATAGCTTTGGAACTTCCTCATTATTTATTTTGTATGGTGGCTAAAATAAGTACTAATATAACTGCTAATGGCTTGCAGCTGACTTAAAATTCAAGTTTGAAACTCAGATACTGGAAAAGAACACAGGAATCAAATTCTGGCATTTCAATAACCAACAATCAATTGCTTCATCACAGAAATAAAACGGAAAATATTTCAGACTTCTTATTACCCAGAAAGCCCTAGCATGATGCTTGTGTGAACTCTTCTAAACCAAAATATGGGGCCACGTTTGCCAAAAGACATGCATTGGATGTCTGATGTCTTAGTAATTGTTTTGAGCATAATGAAAACATTTCATTCCAATCTTCATAAGAGACTTGTGGCAGACTTGAAGATTGGAAGCATTCTACAAGTACAGATAAATCAGGGAGGAGGTTTAATGAAGAAGGAAAAAAACAGCAAAGAAACAGGCCTGAATAATGTTGGATTACCCCACTCTTTTGCCAAATGCCAAAATTGTTAGGAGCCATTTTTAATGCAGCAATTGTATAATTGTGAACTTACAGTTTCTATTTTTGAATTGATGACTCTGACAAGAAGTGAGTATTTTTTTGCTTGGGCCAGAGCTGTCAAAAAGTCCACAACCAAAATATGAAGTGAGGCAGATCTGGGAAAGATGATGAGCCATTGACACAGATTCTCGACAGTCCTTTCTAAGTGGACATCTTGAATGAGAGCATTGTGGAAGACCACTTCAAGGTATGCAGACATATCATCTCGTGATATTGCATCTAAAAGTAAGCTCAGGACTGGAGACGGGAGACCTGCATCTGTGGAACAGTAAGGAAGACACAGAGACTAATAAATTAGAAATAATGACCTAATTCAGGCATAGATAATGACAAGACACTCCACCTTTCATGAGTTGGTTGGAAATCATCTGTAAGCAAGCAAAAACGTTTGGTTGATGCTGAGAGTCCTTGATAAGATGAACAGCAAGCTCCACTACAGGCTGTAAATGGTCTGCAACCATGTGGTACTTTCCTGGGTTGCCCTCAGGTGGGGGAAAGGAGGCAAGGAAATTGATCAAGACTTCACACAATGCTGAAAGGTGTTCTCTATCTGGTATGATCTCTGGGTGCTGAAGCATGAGAGATGAAAGTCTGCGGAAGAGTTCTTCATCACCCCTCAAGAACATCATAGTTTTCATAACATGAGGCTGGAAGCTGTACAGGAGCTGCATCCATTTGGGATCTTCTCTGTTACAATGCTTCTTCACAGTGTGCATGAAGATAGATATGAACCAAACTGGGTTGGTGGACTTATCAAGGTCCATCAGTTTCACTAGCACAGGAGATTCTGCATGCTTAGCAAGGAGACTAGGATGTTGCAAAAAACATCTCTCAATAAGACCCTTCCCAGTGTTCTCCAAAGGTGGATTTCCAGAAAAAAACCATTCACATGCATACTGGAGTATGGGGTCACAAGTTTCCTCCTGTGAATCTATCATCACCTTGATGCTTTCAATATAGGAGTCTCTTGCATGCTCTGGGAGATGATCATCTCCTAACTTCATCAATATCTCTTCCATCTTGCCAGCTATGATGCTAATAATGCAATCAGGTCTTACAAGAAAAATGGAGGCCTTAGGAAGACCTTAGTGATTCATCACCACAATCACACACTTTTCCCATCTATCTTGGCATACCTGGTAAAGAAAAGGTGAACCTGAGCTTAAAAATTCAATGAAGTCTAATGACTGTATTACCACAGACATTAGTCCTGCCTAGACCTGGGTATAAATATGAAGACCTGAGATACTTGAGCTTACAAGTATTCTGAGAAATGTGGTATAGTGATAGGTGTAAGTTCCCCGACGGAAAGTTGTGGAATTGTCCTAGAAGCATTGTTCAAGAGGTTCTAGATACCACTGCATGTTCTATGATGACTTGAAAGAGAAGAGAAAATGGCTGTAATAAGAAGGGACAGGTGACCCTCTTCTAGAGAGCAGGTTTGGTCTTCATATATGCACACGAGCAGAGACAAAACAAGCCACAGCTACTCTGTACATAGGCCTATCTTACAATGAATTAAAAAATAATGAGCCAGTAGACATAAGCTGAAACTTATTTAACATGTCATTCAATAAGTAAAAATAACTGTAATACCATCTACTGGGTGTTGCACATAGATAGCCCCCCTTCACAGCCTAAACTATAGAAGCTAGAAAAATTTTAAAACATTTTGAATCCTTTTTCAATTTTGAATCTATTCCATCCAATTTTGTTTTTTCTTGACATACAATGGTGAAAAACTGAAATTCAATTATCACACCTGTGCTATTATGTTTCAGGCTCATGATGCCAGAGCTGATTTGTTACCTGTTCATAGGTTTCAAATAAGCTTAAATGTTCAGCTTTTGTCTGATAAAGCCATATTTTTCAAAGCTGTGGTCACACAGCAATTACTGAAAGGCTCAGGGATTGCTCTTTTTTTTGGAAATGCAGAATGGCCAGGAAACTCTCCTGATCTGAATGTGGCTGAGAACATGGGGTTATCCTGATAGACCGAGTCAAGGTTCATGCACATGGAGGGCAAGCAGCATGGAGTCTCCCCATGAAGCCTTGCAAAGCAACATCACCAGGGTATTGAAGACATGAAAGATGACACTGAACTCTTTAAGCACCTCTTTTCATCTTACCCCATTCGTATTAAAGCTCTCAGAGACAGAGCCAAGGTGCATAAAAATTATGATAAGTACTTGTTTAGATTCGAAAATGAATGATATAAGAGTTTTTTTCCTAGCTCTTATTGTTTAGGCTGTGGAGGGGGGGGGGGGGCTATCTACATGCACCACCAGGTACAAGACTTCTTCATCTGGTTTGCTTCATTGAGTGGGTTGGCATAATTTAGCCCGGGCCCTTTGTATTTGTCTTTAGCTTGTGTTATGTCTTTTATTTTCCTAAACAACACCATCTTTGAATTGTGGGAGTAAATCCTAATTTAGTCCATTAGCTATCTAACTTTCCTCATTGCACCCTTTTCTTAACCTGTTTAGTAGCTTGACCCTACACATACAGTTTCAAACTGTGCACATTAATTTCTTTGTATCTTCAAGAATTGATATGGCTTGTCACACACAGCAGGTTGTTTACACTTGACCACATAACCGTCATCCTTGCACCTGTCTATGATCACAGAATCTGAGTAAACTTCCTCAGAAAGGGCAGTAATGTAGCCCTCCCACCAAATGTTGATTTTCAGAGGCATCTCACAAGTTCAAGCCTTCTTCTTCATATTGGACACTCACAATACCATGCTAGCAGACATATAATGCAGCAAGAAAACCCTAGCTTAAGAAAGTTTCTAGGGCCCATTCAAATTTGTTTCCAATAATTGTTAACAAACCTCTATACTATTTGTTGTTACAATCTTTTTGGATTTTTTTTTTTACACTACTTGGAATTGAAGTTACTAAGGATATATGAAAAACTTATTCATAGCACTGTGCTACCACAGAAAAGCTCACTTCTTAACAGGTCAAGCAAGCTCAGTCCTACACAAATAAACTTAGGCCTATAGGCTCTTCACAGAGCCACCACCTTGAGAGGACAAGTAGTCATGTTGCCAATTGTTTCATTGAGAGGAAATATGGAAATATTGCCTTCATATAAAGTTGCTCTCTATCTCCATCCCCAGAGACACATGGATTTACATTCCATGTAGGGAATCCAATTGGCTTATGAATGTTAGGCCTATTTGCAAGTCATTTCCTATTACTGCTCTAAAAGCTGCAAGTTAAACCTCTATTTCTGCCTTGTGGCCGGGCTCCCACTAGCCTGCAATCACAGAATTTACTCCGCTATGCCTATAAATGCCAAATTAAATCAAAAACATTCACTCGAGGATAGGCTATTTTTGCAACAGAGTCCGATTGCACTGCGCAGATCCAGATATCTCGATTAAATGCCGGAGGCGTAAGTTTTAAGGTCTATCAGGCTCTCCGACGAATCTTCACATGCTAGGCCTGGAAACCTCAGCGAGATTCTCAAGACTCCCCCAAACAAGAGGTAGTAGTGATAGTGCCGGAAATGTCAGCTGATTGGCTGTCAGCTGACAATGGATTTATGGCCGTCGCCATCGAACTAGGTGTAATTTACCTTGATCGTGCTTATACACTCTAGCCATAACAAACAATACTTGAGTGTTCTTGCGCTTGAGTCGGACATTTCCCTCTTGGCTATAAAAAGCTAGGGGGGGAATGTCTTACTAAGAGAAGAATATAATGGGGAGCATACACTGTTTCCGGATTGAATTCGTACCCCCCCACCGGAGTGGAGAATGGAGAAAGGAGAAAACACAATTTTCCAGATGTTCCGCTTCATCAGGTGATAGACATAATCATCCACTCATGTGTTAGATGTCACTACCTGCAATCGATGGAAGCTCTCCCATAGGGAGTACGAATTCAATCCGGAAACAGAGCAGGTGTTGATTTTTCTTCAAATTCGGTGACTCGGGGACTATTTGCGAGTTGCAGAGCTTCCCTCCAATCGCATAATTTTGCACATGAGTCAAGGAAAAAAGAATAGGAGGCTTGAACCTGAGCTCCATTGCAGACGTTTTGGGGAGATTGAGCTGCCACCTTGCCCCCATTGAACCACCACCTAGGTTGGGAAGGGTCCCGATTTCTTCGCCAAGCTACCTCGTTGCAGGCAATTTTCCCATCTTGATGAGCTTCCCCATGCAACCGCAACATCAGATGGAGCATTCTACCCTTAACCTTGATTACCCCTAATTTGATTCCTTACATATGAGAAACCCTTTCCTTCGGTGGCGCATTATACGGGGGGGAGGGCCGGCTGCCCATTTGGTAGCCCATAGTTCTTAACGCTCCCTCGAAGGATTTTTTTTCCGCCACCGTTGCTCAGCAAACCCCCCCCTCCCTCCCCGACTCATGAACCAAAATACGCCACGCTTTCCTAGGTCTCGGAGTGTCTGCCACTATCACCATTGTTTCCATCGATCTCGCAATGTCGCAAAGGGAGTACAGCATAATACACGTACAAGGTGGCGCACATATAAGTGACCCCAGCACTGCCCGTACAGCATGGCTACTGCAGCATGTTACGGACCCAAAAATGCATCAAAGTAGCAGAATACTTCCAGCACCTGCTGTAACACAGCTAGCTAGGTACGCATGCAGGCCACTTACATGTGCACCACCCAGTGAGAGCCCGAGAGTTCACACCTGTTGAAGGAACAATCTAATCATCCGACTGCAGAATATTACTCTGCGCGTTCAATTTTTCGAGACCGTCTCTGAGTAGTCGCTACCCAGCAAACAAGACCAACGTTGTATCAACGTTCCCAACGTTTATTCAATGTTGATTCAACATTGATTCGACATTATGTGTTTCAAATTGTTTTCTGGGTAAGTAGTGACAGCCTTCGCCGAGATCCAACAAACATAATGCTGCGACTTTCCTTTATTTAAATTCTAGTCTGTTTTCATACCTCAGACAACCCAGGCATGAAGTGCCCCATTGCTGATAGAAAGCCGATCCTTCCTGATAGAAGATCAGCTATTCCCCAAGGAACCGTTGCCACGGCAACGAGAGGCCGCATCGAATCAGCGCCTGCATCGCGGAAACAGCTCAGTCAAGCAGGCAAAACCGCTTACCGAGAGTGAAAGTGCATTAGTGACAGTGGGAAAAAGAGAAAAAGAAAGGCTGGTGATATGCTGGAACCGTTTTACTTGGCATGGGAACAACGAGAACGGGCCCAACGGGCGAGGAGGCGTCTCCTCGAGGAGCAACGCAAGACACGCATCTTCGACGCCAAAAAGAGACTCATCGGGGTAACCATTTTTCAAGTTGAGCAACTTGTTTACATATCTTATCTCATGAGAGCAAGACCTGGAAACGCAGGTGGACGCGGAGGCCCTAGAAAGACAGATCAGGGAACGACGGGAGAAGGTGGAGGAGGAAAAGCGGCGGGAAGAAGAACTGGAAGAGAGTATTATCGCCTCGGACCTCACCGCTCTCTCTCTCGACCATCAGCATAAACGAGTCTGTTTTCTTCTTTTTCCTACCATCCCTGCATCCGTCCCGCATCCTCACATTCGCGAGATGGATTTCCGAGCAGAAGATGCGAGACCTGGAGAGGCAACTAGCCGAATTCTGGAGAGACTGCCAAGGGTGGAAGAGGGAACAGGACGATGGACCGGGTTGGGATCCTGATCCTTCCAAGAGAGGCCCTTCCTCAGCCTGCAGGTGAAAAAAAAAAATAAAAAATAAAACAATTCCACATGTTCCTCGGAAAAATAATAGCACTCAAGGCATATGACATCCTTATTTCAGTTTCTCTGGAGAGGAGAACGAATCGAGCCGACGAGAAGCAGCACAGAGACTGCAAGAGGCAGCCTGGATCGCAGCCCAGGGGTCTGTTCTCCAAAAACTTCGAGAGAGAGACTCGCACAAGAAGGAAGAAGAGGAAGCGAAGGAGAGGCAGATACATCGAAGGGCCCTGCTCCTTCAGGAACTGGAAACTAGAGCCAGGCGGAGCAAGGACAGAGCCATAGCCCATTTCAACAGGCAGCTGGTACTAGATGATGATCATGACCACACCATATGAACTAGCACATGATCAAAGTTTCCGTCAAGCATTATTCACATGGAATAGGTTTTAACTGGTTCACGGAAGGTTCTGTCCTTGACCTTCCATAAGTTTTTCTTCTCTCTGCTTGGATGAATTACAATACTTATAAAGATTTAAAAAAAAAACTATAAGCCAGGGGTCGAAGTTGCTTGGTACCACGTGAACTGTACCATTTAGGCAGAGGAGCAGCGAGCAAGGGAGAGTTGGGAGAAGCAGGAGGAATGGGGAAAAGAGAGAGAAGAGCTAATGGGAACGGCATGGAGCGACCTACTGATGGAAGATCCTCACGGTGCTAGGTCGCTGTATGGACCCAGGAAGCTCTTACCGGATCGTTACCGAGGAATGACTCCAGAGGAAGTAACAGCCATCCGCAAGATGCAGCTACTGCAGTCTCAGAATAGAAAAGTAGGGTCTCGTCACCACCTATGCATTTTAAGGTTTCCATCAGGGAGTATTAAGTTGTCTGTGTTCGCAAAAAGGAAGAAAATGAGCGGGAGAAGAAGGAGCAGGACAGCTGGGCACGGAGGGAAAGAAGACAACTGGAGGAGATTCTTCATAGACACTCCCAACTAGTCAGTGCATCTGGATTGATCTTTCACAAAAACACGGATTGGGCACCTTGAAATGTGTGATTTGAAAGAAGTGCAATTCTACGAATAGCGTTAAATCCTTAACCTATGAGAATTACCCTCTAGGATCTTTCATTTTAATGTAGCAAAAAGGTTTGCGGAAAAAAATACAAATCATCCATAATCACACCAAATGGTTAACCTTTATCGTACGGATTGTTAATCTCTTGTGTAGGCGCTGGCAGCTGTTTTTTTTTCTACGCAGCTCGTAAACACTCACAGCTGAGTAGTGCAACTGTTCTAAAGAGAAACTGTTAAGAGTGAAGCCATTATTGACATATCAGAACATTTTTCCAAAAAGTTGTGGGACAGCAGTTGTCCCTTTCGTCTGATAAAGGTTAAACTTCCCTGAGTTTACCAACATTCCATGTACGATAGTGGAATTTGTATTTTCCATTTCCCCTTCTCCACTTTTTGAGACAAGGCCTTTCTATGTCCATCATAGGTAGCAGGTCATTTTTGCTTCCTTTTTGTTGAATAGATGTGACCATGAAAGTGATAAGGCCTCAGTCTTGTCTAGTTACAGATTCTAAATACTTGTCAGAACGTATTCTGCACATTTCTGACACCTGATAACCTTTTAATCTAGATCATCAAGGTATACAGCTTCTTTGAGAATTTTCTAATGGCTGGTGTCCATGCCAAGCAGAACACAGCATCCGTTTCTGCAATATGAAATTCATTCTGATGTCCTCTGTGACAGGAGAAGCAGAAAAGGGCCAACAAGGAGCAAACTGCTGCTGAGAACCTGCGACTGGCAGAGCAGCAAAAAAAGACTCAGGAGGAAGTGAACAAGGAATTCACCACTTTTGCTCCTTCAGATGAGTTCTTCACTCGCTTTAACACTTCTTCCCGATAATGCCCATAGGAAGTGAAAGGTTTGGGAACAAGGAGAAAATTTTTCATAACTTCCAATATTGGAATGTTTGAGAATAATCATATTTATCTTGATAAGTGTTATGAACCAACTGAAAGGTAGGTAGATTCTGCCTTCTTGACAAGCTTGCAACACAAGGTCCTGGGATTGGCCCATGCAAAAAATTATCACCCCAAAACAGTCAATTATTGTAGTTGAAGTTATTGTAGTTGTGAAGTTTTTGCACCAATCATCAACTTGTCACAAGTTGAGGCAGCTGTCTTAGTGTTAGAATTGTAGAATGTTACAGCAGCTCAAAGTTTTCACGACCTCTGTGTTCATTGATTCCTCAACATCCATGTGATATCAATAAAACATGATGGCTGCAGAAGAGTGTTTCATTTGGATCAATAATTCATTCACACTTCAAATTCTGCAAGAACTATTCAAGTAAACTTCCAATGTATTGTGTGTGTGCTTGGCACACACAGAACATTCACCAAAAATACTCACTACAATCACTCACCAGCTGAGACAAGAAATGAGAGAAATGCTCTCTCAAGAGAGAGGAAACTCAAGAAAGGAAATGAGGTCCATGTGCTTGAACTCTGAGGGTTTCACATTGAAAGTGTCGAGAAGCTTCTGTCTCTTGGGTGAGGTTGCATCCTCACTTCCATAGTATAACTGCACCTGATTGGCTAAACACTGGGCCTCCATTCCAGTCTGTGAAACCAAGTAGATCAATTAATATCAGGATACTGCATAGAAAATGAGACAAATCAACCTCTTTACTACAAACTTTAGAGACAGAAACTTAGACTCACAAGGACTTTTGAATCAAATTCTCCTCTTAGCAGAATCAACCCTTTCTCATCTGCCAGTTCTTTGTAGTAATGCAGCACCAGGCAATCTGGAGCATTTTCTTGAAAGGCCTGAGAAAGAAAGAAGATATCAAGCATCTCCATAACAAGAAGAGCAGCTATATCACCTAATTATCCAATTTTCACCTGATAATTGATGAGAGAAGTAAAATGAAATTCGTCTCCAGCATACTGGAGGAAGAAGAACTCATACCCTTGCTTTCGGGGTAGAGGAAGTAGAAACTGCATTTCAAGAAAATGAAGAGGTGCATCATCAAACTGGTAATGTTGAATTGTTCATATGAATGAGATGGAAAAACAATGATGTAAACTGACCAAGGGATACTTTGAAGCAGTTTCATTGATCCGCTGGAAGATGGAGGGAGGTACAACAGCTGCAAGGTAATTCTCTTTCCCTTTATGATATTCTTCCCATATCTATGGAAACATAAACATGAGTGATTTCCAATGGAAAGGGGACCACATCAAAGGTATAACAAATGATTTCCTCTCTCTTGACAAATGAGCTTTCACTGGAACTTCATGTAACAGTCATATCTATCTTACCAAATTAGATTATTACTTGTACCTGCAGTAATATATCTGAGAGATCAGAAACTTCCATGAATAACTGGTCATGATACTAGGTAACAAAGAAGCATAGGCACTGACCTGTTGTACTTCATCTGCAGTCTTCCCAGCAATAAGATCCACCTTCAAGATATCTTCCAGCTTCTAGGAACACAGGAAGGCCAAATGTGGGCTAAATCTCACATTACAATGTCTCAAATAGATAAATATGTGACAAAGATCATTGGAGACAAGCACAGGTATATGTGGGTACAATGTCTCCAAAAAACAATGAACTGCTGAGGTATCAGCCAAGAAGAACATTACCAAGGCATAGAAGGAGTAACTTGAGAGGGAGTACAAAGAGGAATGCAACATAATAAAAATTCTATTGAAATCCTTCAAAAAAAATCTGCAAAAACATGAAAATTAAGAGCCAAAGAGAAAGAGAATGATGGGATTGTAATCATCAGGGAATCAAGAGCCAACTCAGAACATCCAATGATTGTCTAGATGTGCAGTAAAAGTATTAATAGAATTTATTCCTATGATGGTCTGAACCTCATCATCTTATCTTTTTTCAACAACTTAATTTTTTTATAGTTTTTCTTTTTGATTATATCTTCTTCATTCTTAACATTCCCCTCATATGCCTCAATAGGGATTTTTGTGGTTGCCAGAGTAACAGTTTTCGCTTACTTTTTCTGGAGATATTGTATCAACTTATACTTTGCCAAAGGAATACTTCCCTCCTGAGATAAAAAAAAAAAACAGGAAAGCTCCACCTTTTTCTTGCTTAGGGATTGACAGGCTTCTTTTGGTTCCCCAAGGATCGATATGCCCCTTCCACCGCTGCCATCTTCTTGAGATGTAGATTTGATTTTTTTCTCTTTGTTCCTTTTCTCCAGTGAAGACAAGAATTTCTCTGGAGAACTCCTGGCCAAGATCAAGATTTTAGATTTACTATTTGCACCTTTTGTCTCACCATGCTTGGGAATTTGAGGATAACACACTGCTGGAATGCAGCAATCTTGCTAGCATATTTCTCAAAGAATGGGTTCTGTTGGAGCTGACTCAGTTCCTCCTCTGCTGCCATCCTCAATGTTGAATGTAAATATCTTCTTGAACAAGCCACTAGCCTCCTCCACATAATCTGAGACATTGATTATTAGGTTTATCAGTTCTCTTCCAAAATTACTAGGCTTCATTGAAGCTTTGCTTATCAGAGTTGATTGAATACCACACTTCCACAATTACAGATAAGGAGTGTTCAAGATCATGTCAGCATCCATTGCAAGCCAAGACCATTTGGCAACTGCCATTGCCAAGCTGCAGTCACATCTTCAGCCTGTCAGCAATGAGGGCATTCCAATTGACTGACTTCTCTCTTAGAAATACAAGATACACTTTATTTCATTTGTGAACAACAACCAGCACCAAGTGAAACACCTCATGCCCAAGGATCACAGAAATGTGTTGCAGGCCAACAGGATTTCAAAATCAAACAACAATCTCTGTTCCTTGTACTCCTTGTAACTTACTTCTGGAATGAAATCATTTGCATCACAGGAGAAAGCAGAAAATAGTTCATTTAGGACTTTTCCTTAAACGTTATGTTCTCATGAAAAATACCAATCAATGATTATTACAAAAAGTAAAATTTGATTTGAGGCAATGCAAACCCAGGTCTATCAGCCAACTCCATGTTTCAACTGTCCACTATTTTATCACAGACCAATTTGAATTCCCTGATATACTCTTCAGCAAAATATATCAATAAATATAGGAAATAGTTTCATAAGGGATGTAACAACATCAGATCAAACTGAATTGAGAAGTCATTGATGTTCATATGCAGTATGGAGAATTTGAAAATAAATTAATTATATGAAAGAAGTCTTTGTTTAGGAACTAAAGATCATACTGATGATCCCATTCTACACCCAGAGAACACATTGTACATTCATAGCAATGGTTCAAAGGGGAAAGCCTGTTTGATGAAGCTTATCTAAAGCCCTGTGGAACTGAGCAAGAAAGAAGTTCTTGGTATTTGGAGAGAGATGAAAGCGAAGTGTAGTGCAGGAGTCTGCTGTTGCTTCAAGCTCAGCCTTCCCCCATCCCACATAGTCAGCTACACGTTGTCTTGTTTCAACCTCACACTGAAAATATGCATTGCATTTCGTACCTGCTCATACATAATGCAATACATTAGTATTATGAAGAGGAAAAGCTAACCAGGAGGGGTTGCTGATCCATAACAGTGTGTCTTAAGACAACCAGAGTAGGATCAGGATCAGGAATAAGCAGAGGCTGCCATTCACTCAACTCCAAAACCATCTGATGACTGTCTTCCTCATCATTCACCACAACCAATTCCTGATACGGCAAACAGATTCCAATTTATAACAAAGGCAAAGGTTATATTACTGCATTTGGACCAGAATATGAACAAAAAAAGCAGGCTGACCTGCCAAAAGAGTAGGAGGCAAACAGGAATATACTGATTCTGATTGGTGATGAGTGATGCATCAATGAAAGCCAGAGTCTCACTCCCTAATTGCCTCTCAGTCTTGTTTGGTCTCCAATTCAGCTTCCACTGAACCTTTACTTCTGCATTTTGCAATGTTTTCACTTTAATGTCCTCTGGGATTCTGCAGACCTGCAGCAAGGAAAGTCAAATTCTTAAGAATGTCTGTACTTTGTGCATACCAAAGAACAGGCTGATTAGATTTACAGATGCAGATTGAGGCCATCCTGAAGCTGTCAAGATCCCCTGGCCAGCATAAGAAATTAACTGAGCAGCTCCACCAAGAGGTTTGACCATAATGCCTATCATTCCTCTACCCAAGCCAACAACCAAAGGTCGGCCTTCCATCATACACTGCAATGGATGATGGGCCAAACCTCCCACAGCACCTGCATGAATTAAAACAGTGAGGATCATTAGGTTAGATGCCTAGTAAGACACTGAGAAAGAAGTCTTTCATGCTCACCAAGAAGAGAGATCCCAAATTCAGAGAACCCCAAAGAAAGACTTTGAACAAGCCCAAGAGAGCGGGATGAGGCCTGGGCTCGTCGGATTTCTTCCGCCCTCTGCTGGTATTCTGGGTCCAGAGATAGAGATTCTAGGTTCCTGGCAATGCTAGAAGCCATGTTCGTCATGGACTGGAGGGCTCCTGATGACATATGTTGAAACAAAGACACAGTTCCATGGGATATCCCCAAGAGGAATCCCCATGGTCCTCGAAGTAGACCTTGGTATGGCAAGCAGACAAGATCACCAAGACCTTGTCGCACTTCTCTTAAAAGAACTGTTGGGCTCCCAAGTACTTCCATTGATCCAATAACCCAACCTAGAATGAGGTAAACCAAAAACATATATACTTACACTGTAAGAAAGGCAAGGAGAAATTCTATGAAAGCAAGGTTAAGAACAAATTTGGTAAAATGTTATTATACCTAGAGAGGGAGGTGTAATTTGAAGTCTATAGCATTGACTGCTCAAATTTACATATCTGTATACAAAATACCATAAAAGGCACAAGCAGAACATTTACAATGTTATATCCAACATGTTTAGGTGATTTCATTAAAATGTTTTGGTTATTGAACCTTAAGGACCCGAATAACAACCTTTTCCTGTGCTATGTCACACGAGTTTTGAATGAAAACTTAATTGAAAATTATAACATAAACTTAAATGTGTTAGATGTGACATCCTATAAATTTCCTTCCGATATCTTGAACAGTGCTTCAACTGCATCATGCTTCTTTGGGCCAACTGATATTAAAACATCTGGGTGGTTTTATGAAAATTTGAAATGAAACTTGTCATTCAGAACTTTAGCAACAGCTAACAATAACAGCTTCTTTAAGACACAATTTTAAATGTGTTTGTCTTGGAACTGCCTGTTCAGTTAGACTAGGGTAAGGCAATGGCTCACACAATGACACAGTTGCTCTTTTGACATTAACTGGAAAAGTAGCTGTATTTGAGTATTCAATGACAAATTTAATAAAAACCTACAGGAAATCACCTACATATGCTGGACATGACTTCAGTATATGTAGTCAATACCTTATATGGTAATTTGCTATGCGTGTGAAGTTGGAAATTATTTTTGGGCCAACATGAATTATGCTTGCAGCCATCAATATCAAATTGTTTGACATTCCTGTCAGGTTCTTTTTGATCTACCACTGAAAAGAAAAACATTATGCCAAAGTTACTTGATGTATTTGTAAGTTGTTTTTCAACAGAGGAAGTAGCTTTTCCTTTTCTAAGCATGGCCATTCTCCCCTTCCAGCATTCCTTTCATTCATGGAATCCAAGAAAGGAATTGCTTATCACACCCAGTATAACATTAGTGCTCAAACCACTATATGTACATGGATGGTATAAAGATTAAGTATACTCAAATAGCTCTTAAATAAGTTTCCCAACCTTGAGTAGGGACGATAATTTAAAAAAAAAACAAAAACAAAACAGAAAAGCAATAATTCATTTTTGTAAAATGAGATTCCCTTGGTAAACTTGACTTATAACACAAACTGATTATTGAAGTGACTAATGATGTTATCAGCTGTCAATGAGATACACAAAGCAGGAGACACTAGCTGAAACATGTACTAAAATAGAACATTGCTGTTATGAGAATAATAAAATCCTACTCAAAATCATTAGTCCAAGCAGATCAGGGTATTGAACCACAACTTTCCAGATCTATTAAAATAAGGCTCCTCTGACCTCTTCATTCATGAAATGAGACTAAAGGTTCCAGATTATATAATGTTCCCAAGTTACAGCTTCTGCAATTTACCAATCACATTCAATGCTGTTCAAAGCTGCCTCTCTCAAAGTCTCTGTGGGTAGAAGATCCTCCTAACATGATATATTTGAATGTGACCCATGAACTACAGGGTGAGCCATAAGTAACTACACAACTAAAAAAAAATCCTCCTTAGAATATAACTTCAACACTAAACTACTGGAGCAGTCATTTTGACTACTTGCCATTTTTAAGTGCACTTTGCTTTTCTTGGCAAGTAAGGGCTGCTGCAGTTTTTACTTTTCCCATTTAATATTGACATTTTGAACATACCAAATAACATCTGGAAAAAACAAATAAAGTGTTACAGAATAAAAGTTTCTTACTACTTTTAATGCAGAGGTCAAATTGACTGCTCCAGTAGTTCTAGTGTTGATGGAAACAAAATACTTATGCTGGAGTGTCCATGAATGATGAAAGTTTGTTTCATTCATTTTCAAAAGTCATCAGATTTTAAGGTGCTTCCACATAGATAACACCGATTTAAATGCATGTATCCCATCTATGCACTAAGGCCTCAACAGAATTCTGTTCAGAGTCCAGAGACTTTGCAGCAGCAATTTTAAAAATTGTTTCCAGAAATGCTATGCCTACTCATCACACATTTGATAGCATTCACTACAGATATGTGGAAAATGGAAATGTCTTAGATTAATCAAAGCCTGGTCATCCTGTAACTCAAAGAACTGTAGATAGTTTGAAAGGTGAGGTTCTTGGATGGAGTGGGCAGTTTGATTGCTAGATGTTGACTCCTATGGATTTCTTTGGGGATCAAGCAAAAAGATACTTACAGCCTCAGATATTCATGATCTGGTGTGGCTAAAATACAAAATCAAAACTGTAATTGGTGCCATTTCACATGAAATGTTGTAGAATTCTGCTGAGGCTGCAGTGTATAGATGGGATACATGTATTCAAATCGGTGGCACCTGTGTTGAAGCATCTTAAGTTCTGGTGACTTGAAAATAAGTGAAACTAACTTTCATCATCCATGTACACTCCAGTGCAAGTATTTTGCTTCCATAAAAGGTTGCATTCCAATTAAGATTTTTTTTAAAGCTAATATTTGTCTTTCATGAAAAAAAATATTTTGCCATTGTTGTATTTGTTCCAGTGGAATTGCTGAAAATACAGGAAATCAACTCTCTCACCTGCTCGAAAGAGGCAAGCAACCATATAGTGTCGTGCCAAGGCACTTCCAAGCTGAAGATTCAAGCAAATGATGTTCTGGAGATCCAGCTTTGGAAGATTCAAATTCATTCTGTTGATGGCCAGATAGAACTTGAGCGAGGCATGGGCACTGAGTTCTATGTTGACAGGGTGAATGAGCAGATGGTTCAAAACAAGAGGAGAAGCTAGGTCATCAGACACCCAAGACACATCTGATGGGAGTGTGTATGAGACTATGCTGCTCTTCTTCATCTCAACCAAAGGGGCAATGAGAGAGCTCCAGATTTCCATCAGCCGATTCAAAAGAGTGTCTTCCAAGAAGAGTTTCACATTCCTCTGGAGTTCAAATTCCACATTTTGCAGAAACAAACCAACTGGCAAGCTTTCAAACAACAGTGTCCCCAGGAAACAAGTAGGTAGCTTCTCCTGCTTACACTCAAATGCCAAGATAGCAGGAAAATCAAATCTTTCAGAATGCCAAAGCTGATTGTACAGTTGTATATCCCCAATTGCAAAAGCCACCTGAAGGAACTCCTTAACTCTGTTGCCCAGCATAGAGTACTTGAGCTTTCGTGAGCTGCTAAGCGTAGGTTGTGCAGTGACTTTTAACTGCTCCATGTGCAACACAAGTGTCTCAATGATCTTCCAGTCCTGAGTTTCATCCCAAACAATGATATCTAAGGAGCGGAATGCAATGTTTCCTGCCCATAGGTTGCCAAATGTCTCAGGCGAATGAAGACCATACCTTTGAGCAATGCCTCTCAGCTCACCAGACTCTGCTAAAAGAAGGCTAGATTCCACTTCTGAGGAAGGAGACTTTGTTCCAGCAATACGCTGCCTAACATCTTCTGCCACCATTTCTCTTTTTTCTAATGGAGAAACTATAATGTGAGTGGTCCTTCCAATCTTTTCCACAATGACTTTCTTCTTCCCATGAGTATGTATTAGACGAAGCAGGACTTCTGTCTTTTCTTCATGCAATGCGATCTCTTGAGACCAATCTTTTTCCAAGCTACCAAGGGACACTGTAGGGAGAAATGGAAACAATGAGTCAACAACCTTCATGACAGTATATGTCCAGAATATGACCAGAAAAGAAATGAAGTCCGACCTGAAAAACCAACACGGATGAAGTCTTGCTTTGCCGAAGTGATGTTGGCTCCAAAGTCAGTCAATGATGAAGGTATGAAAGGATATGACTTCCCTTTTGGTATTCCAATCAGGCTCTGCTCCAAATTGATATTTTTTCCTGAAACATTACATTGTGATTCTTATAACGTTCTTCTTTCAGATAATACTGAAAATTCTGCAATACTACCAGATTCTTCATCATATTGGTAGACTCCATTCTTTCCTTCTAAGATGTGCATGAGAGTAGGTACTCTCCTAGTGCTATGGTCATGTTATTCACTTGAGACTGCACAGCTTTACTTTTCTTTCCAGTTACCTATTCCAGTATCAGGTTTCACTGTCGTTTGAATGGATTGGAACTGAGTTGACATTCAGGAACCATGTCTATACTTTGGCTGTTTTTTTAATCCAGTCCCAAAAAACCATGCATTTATGAAGGCCTTTAAAATTTTCATAATTTCCTTTTCTTCATCTTCCTCCATATTACTCTAGCTGCTGTTCACTGCATTTTGCATGTGCCTAAATGTAACTGCAATGTATAAGACTCGCAAAACCACCTTTAAAAAAAAATTTCCAAAAAATAGCATGCCCAGGGGTATAAACAATGGTGCCCTTTGTCTCAATAATCATTGAAGATTCATGCTCACCCTGAGAAAGGAATAAAGTAGAGGCAGTGAGATTGTGGAGAATGCACTGGGGGTGTTGTGATTTTACAAACACAAGATACAACTTCTTTCCCCTCCAATGCCTTGTCATGAAGAGAAGAGTGCCTTGTTCATGCTCCTCATCCAATGGTACAAACACATGGGCTCCAGAATCATAATGCTTTGGGTTTCTCTCTTCATCCAATTGCACAAATACTGGATCACTGGCCCGAGAACATCTGGCACATGTCACAATAAGGCTACAAGGCATTTTCCAGAAAAGCATGGGCTGTGATTCTTGAGGTTCGAGGATCATCTCAAAACCATCAACTGAGGTGACAATCAGCTCCATGGAACTCTTGTTTGAAATGATCACTCTAGGATGGATGGAGAGGATCCGAACTCCATCTTTTACTTGTGATGAGAGGAGGAAGAACATTTCCTGAAAAAATACAAAGGATTTCAGTTTGATACTGACCTAAAAGCAGCACTTAGAACATTTGCAATTCTACTGGACACATTCAGGAATTAAGCATTCCTACTGCACATCAATAACATACTACTGTTCAAGAAATAAACTGGACAATATTTGAACAAAATTATTATAATTCATTTTCATATTCTAGTCTCCCTTCAGATCTTTAATGAAGTTTCAATATTCATAGTATCACACAGATTGCAATATAAAATGGCAGAAGTCCTAAGGCTAAACATCATAATGAGTCATGTGGTTTTGCCCATAGGGTAATTTGGGGGAATATGGCCCTACAAAATGAAACCTGGTCATCATGGTCCATCAAGGTTGAATTTGACTTTTACAATGTTTCTAAAATATTGATTGATATCTCCTTTGCTAAATGCCAGCAAGGCGTATGCAAAAAAAAACCATGGTTATGGCGCCTTTGGGTCTTTTTTGAGTAGGTCTCAAGAGGCCATATTAACCCTATAGTTGGGGGAATATGGCCACTTCTGAAAAACAACTCCAGATTGTCCAGGAACATGTGAAATGTGCTGGAACATGCTGAGTACATTGAAACATGATAAAGGACTCTCAGCAGTTGAAAAAGAAACATTAACTGCACCGAGGACAAACAAAGAAGTCGACATCATTACCTGACTCGAGGAACCATTGTGGAAAACAGGATTGCAACGCTTTTGCTTTTGAGTAACAATGCACGTGATTGGGAGACAATATCTAGAGACTGTGTGTGTGTAAGAGGAATGATCAAGCATCGATTAAAGTGACTATGCGCTACGAGTGTAAAATAAGAGGTCTTACATTGCAGGAAAAATGTTGCGTTGTTTTTGCATGTATGGATAAATAGTGCCAAAAATCACAGAATGTCCTATTTTTACGAGGGATATTTACTTGCATTCAAGTTTCGTGCAACAAAAATTTCTGGAGAATGTCAAGCGATGCAGAAGGAGGTGCATAAGCATACCCTCATGCACGGCCTCCTCATGTACTGCATATTTCGTCCAGATGTCCAGTACGTCTATCCATATATCCAGAGGAAGTGCATTGGATGATCTCTTGCAGTCTGAGATCCCACACGAAAGGAAGCAGACAGTATCAATAGGTCTGTGCGGTGCTAACATGAAATGAAGGATGTGTCCATATTACCCCAAATCGAGATGGCCATATTTCCCCATATTGGCTCGCATTACAAAATTGACAACACTGCCTACAAACCGCAAGTGAAGGGGCTAGCACTTTGCACAAGCATTCTGGAGAGACCATAGAAGAACTTAGAAGAAATGGTTTCTGTATCCATGCTGCTATTAGAAAATATACGCTTATGTTGCTCAAGGCTCATATTAGTTCCACAGTCATGAGACAAGAATCGTATGCATATGACTTTTAAAAACATCGATGTATCCCGAATTCCTGTGGGAACTGGATTGATGAACAGGTCTACACATTTCGACAATTGCATGCACTCTCCGATAGAACTATTTTTTACATTCGCCCAAACTAATTATTCAGTCTATAAGGGGATTCCTTGTGAAGGGCCATATTACCCCAATGGCCATATTCCCCCAAGTTACCCTATTGTGACAAATATAGCACTAAAAGGGAGGGCTCCTTAGAACATTCATATAGAGGGGGAAATCCTGAGGTCATTATCAAGCTCTAGGGTGGATTTTTGAACAGAGCACTATCCAATAATGCAGCTTTATTTACCCGATTTATAAATCTGGTAAATAAAGCTGCATTAGCGGATAGTGCTCTGTTCAAAATTCCACCCTTACTCTTCCAATCACCAACACAACTCAAATTCCCATGCCTATAAAGTGATGCTATTTTTCTTCCAATCCAAGTTTGTACAATTTAGGTCAGAAGCAGCCAAGTGAGAGACATGACAGGCAATTTGTATATCTCTCAACATTCATAGGGCTGCTAGTGGATCAAAAAAACTATCAAATTTATTTTAAACCAATTAATTGATCAGTCATGTTTTACTCAAGTCTCAAAATAATATTTTAAAAAAGGCATGATCATGACTTGAACTTTGATTAAAATTTGCAGACTGAGTAATTTTGAATTAGTTTCACTTTATCACTTCAGGGGAGCCCTGGCAAAATGGAAAAAACTTTTTTGCCCATGCATATCCACTCCTCTGGCATTGTCAGATGCAGATTGTGTAGACCTAACATATTAGATCATCCTTTTGAAGATAATTCCTGGAGATTTCCAACTTGATTTGCTGCAACCTATCATATAGGGAAGTTGGCCAAACAAAAGAAGGCAGAGCCCATATCCTGGTAAGCATAAAGGTGAGCAGTGTGGGCAGAGTACACCATGATGACATCATCAATTGATTCCATTTTCTCCCAAATATCACAATTTCTCTACTTTTCAAACCAAATATCTATTAGTATAAACTTCCTATACATTTTGAATATTTGCTAAATGTGAGCTATTCAGATCACCTTCAGAGAAGAAAATGCTATATGAGAGACTCCAAACCTTTGTTGCCTCTAACTCTGGAAAGACTTTTCAAAGTAAATATTTTTATATCATGGACATGACAAAAACACCTACCAAATACATCTCTAATATGTTCTACATTTATAAAATGACTAAATTCATCTATCAATAGATAGAGGGAGAAATCTTGCATAGGACTCTCTCCAAGAGGAGCCCCTGACACTTTTAAATTAGAAACTTCCTACCTTATTCTGAAAGGAAATTGATAGAGGAAGGGAGGCATCCTCTCCATCTGGCAAGAGAGAGCCAGGAGAACTGGAAACATGGTATGGATGGGTAGGGAGCTCCCATACCAATGTGACAGGCTCCACATTTTCCCTCAAAATTCCATTCTCCATGAAGCAAATATGGAATCCTCCCTGCAATCAGAGTCAAACCATTTAAATTTGAAAAATAAATTGCATTCACTAAAGGAGGAAGGCTGATTGTGCAAGATCACCTGGGGAGGTGGATGAGCAACACTTGCACGGGATGGAAGTGTCCAAATGTGGTGATCACAAGTCATCAAGTACATGTCATCAAGAAGGAGGTTCATGAACATTAGCTCTGGACGAACTTCCAAGATAATTGTTTGGCACAAAGGCCATCTCCTCTTATATGATACCTAAATTCAAAACAATAAAAGATCAATACTTAGGATGCATGAACAAATTTACACTCTCATTCCTCAACCTCCTAAGATAATCAGGGGGGAAAACACATGGGTTCCTACAAAGTCAAATAGTGCAAATCCAAATTTTTACCTCTCCAGAGGGATGAAAGAAAATTGGCAGGTATGGTGCTTTAGGATGCCATATAACTTGGAAAAGATAAGAGATAGAGTAATAGGTATGAGACCTGACATGTCAACATTACTTTTTCAAAACAACAGTATACAATGTTTTCAGGAAGGGAAAATAAATATTTCCAGGGCTATTAAACACTCCAAGACGTCAAAGTGATCTTAATATCATCTAAAAGCTCTCATTGAATATTCTAAAATATATACCAAATCTTCTTACACCATTTAAAAAAGTTTAACTGTTTCTTTTTCACTACCCATGACAACTTCAAGCAGCTGTTTCCAGCATTGCTGGATAAAATCCTTCACATGGAACAGCAGTACTACCTTTCTGAGGCACACCATAAAGACAATGAAAAAATTAATTTTTATGCCACCATATCACTGTTTCAGTACATATAATAGTTTTGTATATTTGAATTGGTGGAAAAGAGCCTCTTTGCCAGATATATATCATTAATGTTGAGGACCACTCATGAAATAGATATTCATATCCTCATAGAACTGACCTGCAGCTTGACCTGAGGTTGAAGTGAAACAGCAGATTCTATAGGAGCCTCATTCCATGGTATGTGAGAATCTGAATGACAATTGCCAATCAAATCTGTCAGCCAGTTCTCTACATTCCCATCTTTGAACTGTTGTTCACTTGGCCCAGGTATCTGATCAATCAGGCCTCTTATGAGGGGGACTGGTGGCATTGTGTTCTCAGGATCCATCTTGTCACACCATCTGCAATGCCAGATTCATCATGCCACAACATATACTCAATTACTTGCAACTAATTCTCAGATGTTTCTGGTCTCACTTTAATGCAAAGGAGATCTGATGACTGATATTTGCTAAGCATGGTGTAGAGAGTCTCATTTCTGTTCCTCTGCCACAGATGTCCTGCTTTACAGTTGAATTCAAGCTGGGAGTGAAGATAGACGCTACCATCTTCACAGGGAGGAAGGATTTGACCATGAATGCTGGTGACAAAGTGCAGAGAAATTGTGGGAGTTCCTTTGTCCCTCCTTCCTCTTTGTCCCTTTCACGGATGAGTGAAACACTGAGTTCAAGTGGAGAATCCCCTTTCACCCATATATAATCTTGCCAAATCATTCCAGCATCTTTTCCTTCAAAATTGGGAATAGTTGTGCTTTCTGAAGTTGCACCATTGTCAGCTTGCACTTGGATCCACTTGGGAGGATGCACAGCAGCCATGGACATAAAACCACCTGAGCTCCAAAGCGGTGCATCCATAGTACGATCTTCATCTGATGCAATCACTCGTAACATCACATCAGTGAGATTCACAAATATGGTCTGTCCATAAACAATGATCTCCTTTGCTCCAGACTCATTCCAATTTATCGAGATGAAAATAGGAATGCCTTTCACATGGCGGATAATACAGGAACTAGTAACATCAATGGAGAATGGTTTGCACCATTCCCATATTCCCTCGTCAATGCAGAGACGAAGCTGAGCCTTACCCTTCTGAGACCTCCAAGCATAAGGCTGAGCAACATTTGGTCGCAATGCCACAATCTCTTCAGTGTCCATTTGTCCCAGCCTGAGATTCAAAGTTGTGGCATTACAGATTATGTAATTAATAAACATGGTCTTCACTTGACCTTGGTATGATTCCACAATGGCTGCCACAGCCTGAAGGGCCGTTCGGCTAACATTTACCTTCAGTTGCTCAACGGAGGCTTCAGCTTGCATCAAGTGTTTTTGAGGTAGAACATCAATGTTCATCTCTAGCTGAAAGGGCTCAATAACAGCCACCTTCACTAAATGAGAATACTTGAGAGCATTGCAAGCTCCTGTAATTTTTAGGCCCATACTCCAAACAGATGACTGGTGAATCAGGCTGGCTTCAACATTTGAGAACTTTAACTCAACCACTTCGAAACGAGATGGCAATGGATTTTCAAAAATGAATCCTTTGTACAGAGGAGGCATCAAAATGTGCCTTTCAGCAATCAAATGGACTGATACTGAGGATATAGAGAAGGAGAGCTGGAATGAAGAAGTCCAGGACTCTGAAAACAAAGAGTCCACTCTAAGACATCCAGCAAGCATCTTGGGAACAATGAGACCCATGTCAAAAGCTGCATCATCAATGCTGTGTTGCATGACAATGCGCCAGACTGTAGATGCTGGAATGACTCCTGAACCCATGGTGACATCTGGCAGTTCAGGTCGAGAACTGTTAGTTTCTGACAGTTGAAAGACAACATAAGTCACGAAACAATGATGCAACTTTGAATACCTCTGGAGGAGGCAAGTGACACAAGGATGAGAGAATTCTGGCAAGGGGATTGGTGACACTTCAATTTTTGAAACAATTCTTGGTTCCTGGTAAGCCCATGTCAGTGAACCCTCTTTGTTACACACAGTAAACTCTCCAGCCTGAAGATCAACAAAGGGTGTTGAGTCCTTGACCATTCTGAATCTGTCACTACGAAGGTCATCTCTTGTTTCTTGGATCATCACAGCCTGAATCTCAGATGAGTCACCCTCTTTTCTACTTTCTTCTTTGGCTACAGAAGTGGATCTGAGTTGTTCACTGATATGTGTGAGGGCTTGAATCTGCTCCTTACCCACTGTGAAACACATGATATCTCCACTCTTCAACCACAAGCTTCTAGGACTGCAAATTCCAAAGTCTATTAGAAGTTCACATGTCCAGGGCTCTAGGAGACTTATATCTCCCTGGGGTGGTTGCATCTTTACTAAAACGTTTGTCAAAGTCAATTTAGCTTGGCAATCATTTGGCTTCACTTTTCCTGTTATGCCATGCATGGAGAGGACTAAAGGAGTTGCAAAGTTATTGGAGATCAAGACGATCTGGGATGTACTGAGCTGAATATCTTCCACCAAGGATTTGGTTGATTTTGTATTAAGTGATTCCAAACCCTCCTTTGAAGGAAATAGTAGTCTGATGTCTTCAAAGGCAGACTGGAATTTCTTGATGTTGGCACTGGTGCAAAAAAGCTTGAAGGGCCGACTGACCTCTACAGTCAAGGTCTTCTGATCCTCCCAAGTGCAAGTGAGGAATGACGGGAGAATACCTGTTTTGACATCTGGTTGACCATGGCGTGTCTCCAGACATGCACCTAAAAAAGAAAGAATCCAGCAGTGCTACTAAACAAGTTTTCAGAAGCAGTGACTAACTTTTTGATGCTGAAATTGGGAAAGTTCTACTCAGACCTAATGCTGTATATATGAGCAGATTAATGACAACTGATGGTTGACTTCCTGAACCACCAATAGCTTATCAATGTCAAGGCAAAACAAAAGTCGTAATAAGTTGTTGCTAATAAGGAAATCAAAGAATGGAAACTATCATAACAATGATCTTGGGCTTATGCCAGCTCATGGAGAAGACACAAGGAGGGACCTGCGGTCTCATGCAGAGAGGTTATCCAGATGAAGGAATAAAAAATATAAAATCATTTAATCAGTTTCTGGCACTAACAGGTTCCCATTTCACCCCTTCTCATGGATTACTGACTGCAAGAAACCTATCTCAACTTCCCTCTTTCAGTCTCCTTTTCCAGGTTTTGTGAAGGAGTTACAAAAAAATGGCAGTTTCATTGTTTGAGAGACCTGTTCATTTGCACATATGCCATGGTCACTTTCTTGTCTGGATTGCTCACCTGAAGGATCATCAGAGAGGGAGATGGACAGGTTGAACAAGGAAGTCTGGACATGTTCAGATGTGGTAGACCAGTACAGGAGCGTATGAGGCTGGGATATGACAGCATGCATTTCCAAGGCATATTTCTTTCTAGGAGATGAAGAAAAACTTTGGATGAAGGAATGTGATACCTGCTTCAAAGAAATGCAAATAGTCACAATCTTTAAGCAGACCTCTGATTTACTGCTGCATGCTCTTGAGGAGGAATAGGTTCCACATCAGAGTAAACTCCTGAATCTTTATGACAATCCTTTTCTTCTTCTTCTTCAAGTCTCTGATAAAGGGACACCTCTAAGGCATTACCAGTCACCAGCACCTCCCAAGGAACCCTACAAAACACAATATTATGAAGTTGCCATTGCAAAACAATAATCAAATGACATTATGAAGATATCATTCACCTTTTGGAAGGATAAACAACTTTTCTTGAAGGACTGTCTCCAGGAGCAGATCCCATAACACTTGGAAAGACATTGATCAAGTCAGTGAGACAGGTCTTGATGATAGCCAAATGCTCACATGCAAACTGAATGGTGATTTCTGTAATGCAGTTAAGTTCCAAATTCCCACCACAAATCAGGATTCTCTCTTTATCCTTCCCATTATCGCAACTCATCACTGGTGGGGCTAATGTCACACGCATATCCCAGCTAGAAGACAGAGCAAATGTTATCAGATGAGAGGAGTAAACACTTGAGGTCCAGATTTAATATAACTGAAGTTACCAGGGCATCAAAGACAGAAGAGAAAGGAAAGGCCAGCTGAAGCTCATTTCACCTTCATTCCACTCCAGAGCTGGATTCTGGCTCCCATCAACCCGAGATTTCCTCCGCCCAAGCCATTCGCCTTCAAGGACAATACCTCATAATGGTATATGAACACCAATAATGATGAACCAGCTGAGATATCAGACAATTACCAGTCAAGAACGTGATCCCTGTGAAGTGGGCTTCATATTGCCGTTCATCTGTTGGCCAACATGGACTGTGGGCCAACCTTATGTCAGACTTCTGAAAAATGTCAGGAGAGATGACAACCCGATCTCTTGGTAAGGGGTTTTCTACCTGTGACGTCACATTTATTCCAGTGACTTGGAGCAGGAGAAAAGTACGAGAGTCCTTGGTTGGGAAAAAGAAACGAGTTGTAGCCACATGAAGATAAAATAGAGGGTATGTGCTCCAATATGTCACCACTTCTCCACTTGGTTCAAAGGTTTTCTCTTTCTGGACAAGAAATGGGCTCAGGAAGTCTATGACTCCTTTCAACCAGGTTGGACTGAAAATCCAATCCACTGCTTGGATTTTTGCATCTAGTTCACATAGAGAGCCTTGAATCTCATCAGATGGAGAAGGTGGAAGTGGGACATCATCTGGAAGGACATTCTGATACTTGCGGTAAATGGAGGTGCTTAGGGCACAGGTGAATGTGGCTTCCAAGAATGGTAAATGTGCCATTTTGCATGCCAATCGAGATTCAGTTCCATCATGAAAGAGATCTGAGATGATCAGATTGTGTGGGAGATGGTTGGTTGATGTCATAACAAGGCCATCATGATCACCACATTTCCATTCTCCAGAGCTGCAAGAGATTATACAAACCACTGTGGTGAAGAGCCCTATCTCCTGTCTAGATATAAAGAGCAGTCCCAGTATAGGCTTATCAGAACTTACCATAACATATGGTAGATGCCATGCACAGATGACATTTTTAACTTGACTTTAGAGTACTCCTCCTCAAAATCAATGCAAAGTGACAGTTCCTCAACTGACAAGGTCAACCGGAAGTCAGCAGACTTAAGCTCCAGGGTAGCTCGAGGTATTGTCCATTGCACAAACCAAGAGAGTGATGTCCCACAATCTCCTAATAACAATCAACTATCAATGTTATACATGATGGATGATTTGTTGCAAGAAAAGAACCTAAAGCCTATTTACCAAATTCAGGGATTGCAGCACCTCCAACACTTGATGGGGATTTTGCACGTGTGCTTAAGATCCTGGCAGGCATGGATCTCAGCATCCTTTCCCAAGTTTTCAATAGTGTCAATGCCTTCAAACACAAGAATTTAGGTTCCATGAGAAGAATTGGAAACGTGTCAAAACAATAACCACGATAGCTAAGTTTACAAACTTCTTGGAACTCCATTCAGAGAAACTGTCAAAAGTTAAACATAGCAAAACCTTGTCAAAATAAACTTAAATAAGATGAAATTTTCATGGTTCCTACCTCTTCATTGTCACAGGGTTTTACTACTGCTTTCAATCAGGTTTGTCATTCTACAGGGTCTCCAAAAAAGGACACTTATACTGTTTAATTCATATACAGTTGATGCTCAGTTTAACAAACTTTAAGGGATAGGCTAAAAAATTTTGTCATGAGGGAAATACATTATAGATAAATCCCCACATATTACAGAAAAAAAGAAGTCTCTAAAAGAAAATGTAATATATTGTCAAAAGAGAAACAGTTGTTGATTCATGAAAAATGCAAAGGTCAGAGTGCATGTCATATTGCCAAACTACTGCTTCCAAGATGTGTATATATACCTAAATGGGCATGCACAGAAGCATGTCCTTATGGAGTAATAAAAATCAGATAAGTCACCAATGATGTCTATAGATAAGAAACAAATTCCCAAATGGTTGCCACTCATTCTTTCCCGAAAATTTTCTGGGTCAAGGTTTGCAGAGCATTCAATGTTTGAAAAGTTTCAGGCTCAACATTAGGCCTTTGACTGAAAAATAACCTAGGATAACCTAAGGCTTTGATTGCCTGACTGAAGTTCTGAACTCAGCCTGACACTCTGGAAATGATGCTTCACAATAAACCCAGGCTGAGCTGTAGAATACACCATCCTGAAAATGTCCTATAAGTTCAGAAAAAATTCCAGAAGTGCAACTTTACAATCATGCCATTTTCAAAGCCTTAACCCAAGTACCTTGTCATATATGAATACGACAATATAAAGCATTCTTTTTTTGGAGACACTGTACTTGGTTTACTAATACATCTAAGACTTTCATGACTTTTGAAGCAAAGCATTCAGCATCACTATTATGTTCTTATTCACTTCTTGGCAAAATAATATTGCTTTCTATTAAATAAGCATTTATTACTTAATGGATGGGTATTATTAGAAAAGGAAATTTTGAAAAGATTTAATAGAAATCTCCATAATTCTCATCCCTTTTTTCCCTGGAATACTTGCTGGCCCCTGATGCAGTGCTAGCAAATGCCATAACAAATGAAAGCTAAATACTTATGCCAGGTCAATGAGAGGCCATGTGCTGTCATTGCCAATCTGAAGCATTCAAGGAAAAAGGAAGGGTATTAGCCAGCTCAAGGAGGTATATGAAGCTGGAAAGATTTTCTTAGAATGTAATATTGTAAAACCTTATAAAAGTCCTGTACCACAAAGGAAAAGAAACTTCTGAAACATAACAAATATGAGCAAATCATACTACAAGCATCAGCAGGTCTATGACTTTTCTCTGGGTTTATGCATGGAAAACAAAAACCTATGGGGCCTAGATCAAATGATGGAAAAGCAAAAGCAATAGAGTGGAAGGACATTAAAGATGACTGAACAAATGTCAACATATGACACTTTAATGTGGGTGTGAAAAAATGTTAGCTGTTGGATCAGTTGAATATTTCTCAATGCTTAACCTTTATTGGATGAAAGGGAGAACTGACGTCATGCAGAGTGGATTTTTCCATGGCTTAACTGTACAAATGTTGAACTGCAACTTTTTGAAAAAAATGATCTGATACTAACAGTTTGTAAAAGCATAAGGAACCTAATTTATATATTTTTTAAATTTTCTTCAAATCCATTCATCTCAACAAGAAATGCTGAAAAATACTTTTTTGGTGTTTTCAGGAATATGCATGTTCATATTTTGACAGTCAAAAGTATACTAGGATGCTTTCGCTCAAATGAGACACATCCATGGTTTTTGTGTCTTAGACTATTTTTAAAAAATCTATGTGGTCCTCCTATCCAAGTGATTTAATATGGTAACTCATTCACCTCTGTATCTGCAATGGTTATAGAGAAAAAATTCATGAGTGGAGGGCTCTAAATAGGGCGACTTTCCAAATCGCTGTTTTCCCTACATTTGGTGCACTGTATCGCCTAAAGTAATTTCCATAGGTTATTAAAAATGATGTATTGCATATTTGAAAGTATGTACTGTGTAGACAGATGGAATGATATCCAGTTATTCTTTTATGAATGTGTCTTTTTTAATTTTCAAAATCATCGAAACTGCAGAATGCATCTTTTTTGGCAATACTTTTCTATTGTTAAGCATGAATTCCATCTTGAATCAAATATATTTTCCCAAACTACATTCATTCATGTATCTCTCTGTGTCATTTGGCATTTTTATCATTTATACCTAGTTTGATATTCATTGACAAAACTTCATCATTTTCCTATTGGGAAAATATTTTTTTCCTCTCAAAAACCCCTTTGTAGATTAAAAAAAATTTTCATGGTGATACTAGAAAGTATGGGTTACCACATGGTATACAAATGTCCTCCTCCTTTTGCCTAACAAAGTAGTTATTGAGTGTTAAACGTGCACAATTTTCGACTATGTTAAGAAAAATGGTCACGCAGTATACACCGATGTAATGATCAAATTGCATCACACATTAAAAATACTTTGCATTGGTTTTCATAAAATAATGATAGTTCGCATGTTTGGCCTTGTTGACCAATTATACGAATACAACTATTTGTAGTAGTAGTCTCTGTACCTAAACTCCCCTTGAAACTTGCTTCAAAAGGTTCCTTTTAAAAGATTTCACAATTCAAATGAGTTCAAATTTTACTTTGAAAATCCCCAGCTCTGTATTGTATGCTTTCCTGCTCCTCTTGTGCAGCTTTTTCTTTGTCTTTCTGAAGCTTTATGACCTCCTTCTTTCTACTGAAAGAATACATGATTTTGGAAAATATTCACGTTCAAAATTAGTTGTTTCTTTCTACAAAAATATTTGCTATTATCAGAATATGGGCCAAATTTTGAGAAATTGTTATCACAACATACTGAAACTAGGTTTCTCTGAAAGCTAAATGTTCTGAGAATGCTTTTGGGAAAAAATTTTTGGAAAAATTTGAGTTTTTTCAAAATTTTTTGCTAAAAATCTCCCCTTAACAGCTTTTCAAATTTTTTTTTGGTCTAGTTATAGATCACTTAAAGATCCATCCAAAAACAGATTTTCACTGAAATCAACTGCTGTATGAGGGAGTTACAGGTAAATAGGTATTTTATGCTTTTGCAAACTGTAAGTCAATAATTGCTTCATTGTCAACAGTTTATTTTTAGAACAGTTGCACTGCTCAGCTAGCAAGTGCTTACGAGCTGCATAGAAAGAATCCAGCTGCTAGCACTTATGTGGGAGATTTAAATTAATATGACAAAGGTTAATATACCATGAAGGCATATTATCGCTAAAAGAATTATCAAATGACTTTACCCTGAAGAAGCTCCAATCAGAGAACCTACAATTATGTACTGTACTTCTTTCTTCCCATGACCACAATCATGCAACATGTTACATTTCAAATGTTGTGGAACCTGTTGCTGTGTGCAAGTGATGGGAAGCGGGGACATGTCAACATGAAGACAGAGGGCAACATGTCCAGGAATCAATGGTTCCAATGGTGATCCTTGCTTGGAAGTCAAACCAAGGGTGGCTTGTGTATCAAGAGAATGAGTCAGAAGATCTCCTGGACTTGCATGTAACTGGATCCCTTCTGCTTTGAAGGCCCATGGGAAGCCATCTCTGTCTATAAGGAAGGTACACTGTAATCTCACTGAGCATAGAAGCTTCTCATGTCAAGATACTTATCTGAACTCACCAGCATTTCCATAAGGGGAACTGGAAGCAGCAGAGGAAGGGAAGAGGGAATCGGTTGGAAGATTGAAGCTACACAATGCAAACTTGTGGATGGACACACCAACACTCATCAAACCTTCATCTGAAAGCACTCCAAGGCGCACTTCACGGATTCGTATGTCCACAAGAGCTGTTTGAATCACTGGGATCCAACGTCCCATATTTTCATCCAAAAATAATAACCGTTTCTTCTTTTGTTGTGACTGTACAGACAGCTCAGAGGAAACAATACTGAATGTGCTTTCAGATTCTGAAGCAAATTCTAACTTGGGAGTCTGTTCTCGATCACAAACATTTGGGCGTGAGAAAAATGTGATGAGGTTGGGATGGATGAAGAGCTTAAATGGGCTGACTGAGATGAAACAGACAGAGGCAATGGTTGGTACTGGTTCTGGACATGGTGGGAATCGCATAAGGAACTCTAGCAAAGGCCCAGAGTGGCTTGATATATCAAGGATAGGAGATCCTTGACTAGATACAGACACCTCATGTATACAAGCCTTGATGATGGTCAGAGAAGATGTGAGGGTGACCTTCAGGAAAGCATGCTTCACTTTGGAATGTAAAGTGGCACTCAGAGTTGCCTCAGGAAGTTTGGAAGTCATCATGGCCACCAAGTGCTGGCTCCGCCGCTGTTGTATCAGAGACATCACCACACTCCATATTATGTGAACCTGCAATAGAATATTAAAGTTTGTTAATGTCATATTGTTAATGAAATTCCAGGAACATTTCAAGTTTCAATCAGGTCTCTAGCACAACACAAATCCTGACATCAAGCTGCAGATGAGATTTTACAGTGCTTTATATTGTCTAGAGCTCAGAGCTCAGCAACTCAATCTTTCAGGCTGGGTTGTTGTGCTCCAAGAATGGTTGTGTTGAGGGACCCTGAAAGACAACTCAATGCCAAAATTTCTTAGGGAATACTAATGACAACCAAACAGCCATCCAAGACAGATGCCATAGGCTTACATAATTTTGTGCACTGACAAGGACTGACCTGCAATGGGATGACAGTGAGAGAGAGATTGGGTAATGTGAACTCAATGTCCATTCCCTCAGATGTCTCACTCTGAACAATTGTGAGTGGTTTCACATCTGATGTAGAAAGAATAGAAACAGGGTGATGAAGATTCTTCCCAGATCCTCCCATCATTTGGACACTGAATGCATTCCACTGTAACAAAAGTAAACAGGTTAAATATACTAAGAAATTCAAAATTCCTCGAAAATCCCAGCAGGAAAATTGTGGAACCTGTGATGAAATTGAAGCAGAGAGATCTTTGCCCCAGTGCTTCTCCAGGATCCAAGACTTGCAAATTAAAGTCAACTGAAGCCCAGATGGAGCATCTTTCTTGGCACGCTTCACCTAGAATTAAAATTTAAAAAAAAACAAACATAATATAACTTCACCATCAAAAATTACCCACCAAATTTAAATTGTACAAAAATCCAACAACAAGCTTACATTTTCTTGAGTGTTTTGCTCACCTTGTGTTGGCCTCTTTTTAATTTCACAAGTTCAGGAGGGTTGGATCGAGGGTGCAGGAATGGACGCAGAGTGATCACTGGTGTCAACACAGACAAACGATAAATGACTGTTGAGAAAGTCTCCTCTTTTGGCTTCTGAAGCTTTCCTGGAAAGTGAAAACTTATACAGATAGGTCATCAATAAACACTAATGAGAAGTTACAGCAGCTAGACCACTTACCAGGACCATATCCATAAGGTTCGTAATCACCTTGGCAGAATGCCCAATATAAAAAACATAAACCATGACAAAGACCAGCATCAACAAAGACTTCAGGAGATCCAAGAAAAAAATTCAATTCAGTATGAGTTTCTTTAGTTTCCCTGTCTTCAGCTTCAACATCTTTGGTCACACTCAGATAGTGAAAAGCAAACCCAGGACTAGCTTCCAATATTTCAGCACCTGTTCAATGAGATAAAAGGTAAGGCGAAATGAGCATTCTGATGTCCTATGGCATAAATCAAATATAAACATTTCTGCAAAAAGCCAATATGAATTTTGAACCATGTGATACCAGATACTGAAGGAGGAGAAACAGTAGGCATTGTCCACTCTTCATTTGCATCAAACAAGGATCTTGTCAGATGCTTTTCACCTTCCATTGAGTAGCCCATTGTTATGAAGGCTTCCTCATTTTCCTGCACAACAAATGTTTGGTTATGTTCATGAATCACATGTGAACTGCAAAAGTGAATTTATAACTTATAAGGTTTCATAAATTTTCAAGAGCAAAGAAGAAATCAACTCACAGAAATGGGACATCCACAGGCACAACTTGATAGAGGTGACAGGTGAGCTTCTTGGATCCCAAGCCTTACAGATGTATAGCCAACATCTACCATATCAACAAATGAACCTTTATGCTCCAGGCAGAGCAATTCTCGACTCTCACATCTTTCCTCCTTGTAGGATTCCACAACCTGCAGCCAAAGAAAAACATCACCTCATTCAATCATTGTCTATTCCAAATCCACAGATATATTTGAGATACAACTAGATGGAAAGCAAGGCTTACCTTGAATATCCAGGAAACACTGTCAAAGTAGAATGCAAACTGAAACACAGGTGGAAGGGAAGGAGTGGTGTCATCTTGAGAGTCACTGGGAGAGGACCAACCCAGAGTTGGGATGAATCCCCAGGCCCATCCACCCCATGATTCCTCTTCAGATTCTCCCCCACCCTCTGAATCATGGAGTACTGCTTGTGGGTCACCTATTCAAAATTATTTCAACCTAAAACATCAATACAAAACAAAAGGACAATACTCATAGGACAGGAAACTAAGACATACCTTCATTTTCATCAGGCGATTCTCGTGAATGATCTTCATCAGAGTCAGAACCATAAACACCGATATCTCCTTTGACATATGCATGTACTAACTCACACAGCCTTGCAAACATGGGGATTTGTACATCAGTGAGGGAGATATTGAGATCCTTGCAGTGGAATGCAATGCGTTTCACCTTTGCTCTCTTGGCAACGGCACTTTCATACTGATAACTGAATCGTCCTTGGATTGAACATCTGTAGGCCACTGGATCCTTCAAAGAACAAATTGAATTGCAATCCTTATACTGTCTTGTTACCAGTGTTTTGAATAAGCATCAGACAGAATAGTTGGCATATGCAAATTAACCTGGTAGACCTGAATCTTCCCAGCTGCATCTCTTTTATCCAGGCATATTGTCAAGTCTGTTAGGTGGAAAAGTTTTCTTTGCATGAAGTCAGGGGCTGAAATAGTGCTTAAGCCAGGTTTCCATTGGTCTGTGGCTGACTGCCATGACATGGAACGGGCATTCAGAGATAGCACCAGATCTCCCTCTACATACTAGCAAGATGAGAACAGGATATAATTCATAACTATTTTTCAGTTAACAAGGAAGTAAAAAGGAGTCAGAACATACTTTTAGAATGAGATTGTTGCAAACTATGCAAATGTTTTGCAAGAGCCTTGTCAGAAGGCTCTGAACATAACCAGGAGGGGCTTCTTCTTGTACAACTTCCTTCTTCAAAGATGCAGAGGAAGCACTGCGATCCACTTTCTTGGAGGGTGGAATGGTTTTCTCCCTAAGCTTCAGCACACATTCTGGCAAAGAAATACCACAGTCTTGATCTGAGAGCACATGCACACAGAAGAGCTGGTTCTAGGCCTCAAGTTTAAGTGGAAATATATGCAAGTCAAAGTAGCAGAGGAAGCATTTGCAGGTATCCATATAGGCTAGGCCTTTGGGTCACACATTCACAAGATACTAAGTAACACATGGAGATGCTTACAGTATATAACCAGGCCAAAAGAAGATATGATAGGTCTAGGCCTACCAATGGTGTTGATGGTGATGCAGATTGGATCCATGTACAATCTGGTCCATGGAATTTGAATTCTGAGCTCATGTATGTGCCCGTTGACAAATGAGAATGGAAGTGAACTGAACTCTTCTTCCAATACATCCAAGCGCAGATCAAGATTAGAGAAAACTGCCTCACCACTGAAGAGGGAGACCTGGCGGAGGATGAATAACTTCTTTAAAAATCATTTGAGTCAAACAAATCAAGAGACGCTTTGGCCTGAGACGATGTTAGACAAAGCTCATATGAGACCAAACAGAAAATTGGGGACCAAACCTGAGAATCTTCAGCCTTGCAGTTTTTGATGTAACGATCAAGATATCCCAAGATCCAAGGGGTTATATATGATTCCAGCTTGAACATCTTGAGGGTACAACTCAGATCCTCATAAAAGCCTCAATCATGCTACGTATACAAGAGGAAAAAAAATCGGCTGAGTAAGTAGTCCACCGAAACTCAGCGCATCAATCCACAATGAATGAAAGAAATCGGTTCCTACTCATTTCTGAAAAAAAAAAGTAAACAAAGAAATTGAACTAGCTATGAGAAAGGATAAGAATAATACCCGGCACACCTTTTCACGATAATTAGGGAGCAGTGCCATTCCGAGATAGGTAAACAGGCCCAGCGCAGCTCAAGTTCCAGCCGGCGACACGTGTGAGAGAAAAACAAGACGAGTGGACGGGAAATTCCAACCCAGTGGGGCAGTCTGCACCTAGCCAAGTCTACGAATGCGTTTCAAGGCCACGCCTCATTACTCCATGATAGACCTTATCAGCGGCCAGAGAAAACCAGGAAAATCCGCCGTTCCGTTACACGGTATAGAACCTGTCACTCAAGTCACCAAGGTCATCAAGCGTACAAGCGCTGCGCCATGGAGAGTCGCGATTGGTGGACGCACTCTTCCACGCTTGAGCATAACGGGATTCCTGCACACGTGGCTTGCTCGTCGCTGATAGCAGGAGTGTCACGCGCGAGATGTCCATCACGAAAAGGCATCGGCCCTTCATTGTTGCGCCTCTGCTTTCAATTCATTTTTTCTTTCCTCAGATATCGTTTCGTGTACGATAACTCGGCCTTTTTCGTCGCGCCTCAATGAAAGAGGGGAAAAGATGCATCGAGAAACCCGACTCCTTTATTCCGTTTTTTTTTATTAGAGACTTCTAATTGAACGAACAAGATCTCCATGTATTGATGAAACTTACTATTATTTTGGGTTTTTCACGTGAAATGCGAGAGCTAATGAATGAGGGGGGGGGGGAGTTCTTCAACTCCCTCAGAGATGGCGATAGGGTGCCGACTACATTCAGTCCGATTCACTTCCCTCTCCGATCACCTTGTCCGAAAGAAGTACTAATTTTTTACGATGTCAGCTTTTGAACGCTCTAGTTCCCACTAGTACCAAACCCTACGACGCCCTTGCCTTTGCAAAGGGAGGAATGGGCGGTTCAGAAATGACGGGAACCTGAGTGGTAGGAAGGCGGATAATCGGTTGAGGATCACCAGGACCACACTAATCATAAACTTACCTGGCCGGGGAGAAACGGTGATCACCAAGGTCGTTCTCCCAGGGTGAGGCTCTTCCATTGCACTCCGGCTGAGCTGACCCCTGTGACTGCCCCAAACGTGGGTAGGTCAACGGCGATATTTTTGCCTTTGGGGAGTCTGCGTTCGCGCGGACTCCCTCACGAATATGTCCATAGTCTCGTGTAATTGTCCCAACCTAAATTTATTCAGGCTTTTCCAACCAATAAATTGATATTCGCATCCAGATCGTTGGAAGTTAGATAATAATTTGGATAAGAAACTATTCACCTTGCGAGAATTACGGTGCTTCATGTTCAACGGGAAATACCATTACACCAAGCAGATCACTGACGAAAACTTTCAATTAATATAATTCATGAAAACCCAGATCTATCCAAGCGTTCCCTCTCCCCTCTCGTAGTCGATTAACATATAAGTGCGGGCCCTAAAGGAAGGACTTCCTCCCGACTTAAAGCCAGGCGGTATTTTTTACTTCCAATGGTACACAAATCCAGATTTCCCAGTAGACCAATCGCGGCCTGGAGTACAACCAGAAAAAAAGAAAATCTCTAATTTGTTGGCCTGTCCTGCTCTCTTCCACATATATTCAAGGTACGAGCGAATTTCTGTCAAGATTACCTCAACAAAGGACTTCTAACCTCTGCAGCCTTAGCTACAGTTCAAATCCATGTCTCTATCCCTCACCCTAATGCATTAAAGCCTGGCAGGCATTTACCTGAAAAAAATTAACACACATTTACTGCCACAGACAGTATTATCGACATACAACTCAGCTTAGCCTGCAATAATTCACATACTGTTTCACTTCAAATGTAGAGGCCAGAATTTGCATTGTGTTCATTCATTTTGCATCAGATCATCCACAGTTATTGGCCTACAGCTGCTGATAACATGGAAGAAACAGGAAGTTAAATTGGAGGCAATTCAATGGCAGCACTTCTCTCATAACGAACAAAAGCCTTATCTACACTTCCTAAAAATTAATTTCCAAGGGGAACTTTTGCAGTGCAAATTTAATTGCTGATCAACGTTTCTGATGGGATATAAATTCCATTGACTTTGATGAGATGAGAATAATAGAAAGAACCAAAAAAGGAACAAAGCTTCTTAAGGTTAAATGCAAGGACTTTACAAACTCAGGCACAGATGAACAGTATATAGCTATCATTTGAAATTCAAACTAACATATGCTGATTGGCAAATCGTTTAGGCAAGGGGACATGAAATCATCACATTTCCCCACCTCCCCCTCTATTCAATATTCCATCCATCTTGTCTTTCACCTTCATAATCTCATCTCTATTTTGACTATTGGACTACTGAATGGAGAATCCATCTTTCTGCTTTCCTCCTGCCATGACTGTTGCAAATATTAATTCTTCTCTTATCTATTGACTACTTTCACCTCTTAACACTTCCTCTCCAGACCACTTTGACTGCTGAACAATGGGGTTGCTAAGTGTGCCTATTCCTGTCAGTTTCTTTCATTTCCAAACACCGGTCTCTCTTGACTATGGCATGCAATTATCTTTTCACAAATGAAAAACTTTCAATCCACCTGTCATCCACTGTCACTTTATACCATATATCTGTGGCACATTGAGATTAAGTGATGAATGGTGGTGGTCATTGTTTCCAAAGGAAATATCAATATTCCTACCTTAGATGGGAGGGTGTAGGGGGGTGGTGACGTCCCGGCTTATGGCGACTCCCGTAGGAACAAGAGAGGAACGCATACAGCATCGAGTTATGGCCTGGATCCTTTAACTTGATGAAATCCAGTACATTAAAGGGGGGGGGGGGGGGAGGAGAGGAAATTGATGTGTTTCCTTGTCTTTTTTTTTATTGGCTGATTGTCTTGGTTGTGAAATGACTTTTCAATTGTGAATTATGGTACCCTTTTTGACCTACCTGAAGGTGCTTTCAACTTCCATTTGCAGTTTTTACCTCACTGACTGGCCATTTAACCAAGCACAGGCTTTCCTTAAAAGGTACGGGAACAGTTACTGTTGAACTGTGGAAATATAAGGATCTCCTTCAAGCCACTGGTCCCAATATGTATCAGAATGGGTGAAAATCACGAAGGGTGAGTGTACAAACACTATTGAACTGTCAAGAGGGAAACTCTTGACCTTCCCTTTAAATCAGTGCTTCCCAACCCAGGGTTGTGACCCCAAATGGGGTTGCAAACCAGCAGCTAAAAACTAAGTTTTGTTTTTCTTGGAGATTTTAGCACATTGGTGGGGGAGCCTGTTGAACTTCGGCCAGTTCTTGGGGTCCTGAATGGTATGATCGTGGTTTAGGAGGTCACACGTGAAAAAGGTTGGGAAGCCCTGCTTTAAATTGTAGTACTCTTACAATCTCTTTGAAATGGGAAGGCACATAAAGAAGAGAGTGAATATGGTCACAGCTGAATTTTAGATTAGGAGAAGCAGCATGACAATGACATTGATGAATTGAAATGTCAACTTTCCCAAGAAAGAAAATTAAAGAAATAAAATAATGATCTATGTCCTTTTCAAGAAGGCAGACTGGATATATGAAAGGGGTTGCTAGGCATTTACACAATTATTAAATGAGAAAAACATAAGGAAACCTCCAAAAATTGATGAAGTAAACAATTTTTCTAGAATAATTTTTAGCAGGCTGGGCCAATTTTGATGGTTACTAGATGTTTTCACCTTTCATTCACATGATTCCTGCCGAGGATGCCCATGAACTTGGTTCCACACTCAGAAACCCTGGTTTCACTTGATGAAATAATACGATTTTGTGGTGATTTCAAAAGCTAGAACAAGCTCATTCTTAAAAAAGGGTAACTTGTTAGATAATCCAACACATTTCAAACCATATCATATCTGAGCAATGGGGCAGGCTGACTTGTTATGTACCAGCCAATTGTCTTCTAGTCTCCAGAGATGACAACACCAGTCGATCAAATAGTTTACGTTGAATTTCCCTCTCCTCAGCAGAGGCTTGGAGCTCACGACCAGGTTACGGGGCCGCCCAGTGGTTTCCAGGGGCCCGGGGCAAAACTAAACCGGAGACTCCCCTTGGGACCCCTTGATACGCGGGGCCCGGGGCAGATTGCCTCCTTCGCCCCCCTCCCCCCTTCCTCTGGGCGGCCCTGCCAGGTTATCATACCATCGGTCCTCTTAGACTCTTGGAGCTTTGGCCAATAGTAGGTTTAACAAAGGTCAACCCAAATCCCTTGGCTGGAGCACATCCACCTTCGTCAAGTTTAGGCCTAGGCTGCATGAAGATGCATAGATAAAAAATGATAAACCGATTCATATGTCATTAGGCTTGCTTCAACATCTCATCTTGGAGAGGTCAGCCTATTAGGCGACCACCGTGAATTTCAAAGGCGGAGCCAGTTTTTCTTGACCCTTCGCGAGCTGGTTTCACACGTGACGCTTTGAAGGAGCATGCGCCGAGAGCTTGCGCTGCATGGACAGGCCACGTGCAAGCACCACGTGGCTTGGCAAGGAAAATGTCACACTCGCGTCACGTTCGCGTTTGGCCAATGAGCACGTCTCGTTCTTATGGAGTTTCAACGCTGCAGTCGCAAAGTCATTTTTCGGCATCCCCTGGGTAGTACGAATTCAATGAAGTGCCAAGTGGCTGACAGCCATACTTCCATTGGCTGATTTTGCAAATTATGGCATGTTCTGGAACCCAGTTCTGCCGTGATTCGACCCGAGCTCGGGAACCAAGCCGCAGAGTTTCAAAGGACAACAAGCTGCCTTCTGACCGATAGTGATAGTGACCTCCACTGCTCGCGGGGTTCAAGGCAGTCTTCGACTTCGAGTCAT